TCACGTGCCGATAGAGACATTTATACTTCCTACTAAAAACCCTAAATTTTCGCAAGTTTCGCGGTGATTGCTTCCTTTTAGGCATTGCAGTGGAAGATTTATTATTGGGAAACATTATGTGGATCATTGTCAATCTTGAAGTGCCGGCCGGGTGGCCAGCTGCAGAGCGTTGTTCCCCGGTAGAAAAGTGCGGGGAGATCTGAGACAATACAGGTAACATTTGAGGGCAAGCAACCCAGCCTTGTCAATAAACAATTAGCAACGGAAGAACTATCAAAATACTCGTATGACAGTACTCAAGCATCCTCTTATTTCATAAAAGCAAAGTTAAAAAAAAAAAAAAAATTACTAGCCGCCTCCTCGCGGGTTTCAAAATCTATGAAATTGTCGGGCTTTCTTTTGAGCTACTTTTACAATTACTGATATTCTACAAATGTTTCAGTTACAATGTCTTCTTCTGTTTAAAGTTTACTTTCAACAAGCACTCTAGCTACATCTCTATGCATGGGATGTTCCGCTTCATTGGAGGCTCTAGATAGTAATAGTGCTAGGGAGCCAACACTGCTCACTCATTCTTTCATTTGTAGATAATTGACAGAAAGGAATAGGTTGGAATCGAGATTGAGCTTGGTTTTGACATAGTGATTAAGGTATTTTGTGGAGTGTTTGCCAATTCAGTAATATATTTCTACCAGGTGGTACTACCAACTCCAGGAAGAAACACTACAAAAACAAGTTGAAAGTCCCTATATCAGTGAGAATCAGCTGGTATCATTATCGAATCTTATACCCTCTCAAGTCTAGATCTAGTGACCGAGGACGTAGAAAGAAAAATGCAAGAACATGAAGATGACCCTAACCCTGTTACCACGGACGGAGTGTACAGCATGCTTTGACAAATTACAATTTCGTTTCACTTCTCTGCAGGTTCACAATGATTCTTCAGGTTATGTCCTATACATGCTCTTTTGGGGCGCGTCAGTCCATGCCCATGTCTCTCGGGATAGGTCATATTGTTGTCAATGCGCCGCTAACTTGGTTGAGCTATAGGGGGAACCTGACTAACTACACCGACATAGAATACTTGATAGCACGTGTCTAGGACTTTCGCGTGGAGCACTTTGACTTTGATAAATTTACGGACCGGTTGGAGACATGTACAAGTATGACGACTTGGGAAACGAATACTCCATAGAGGCAAGGTAAGGCTCATAGACCTACGACGTGGGTCTCCATCTGGTGTAGACATAAAACTCTATCGCCAGCTAACACGATCCCTGGACAGTGGGTCAGCATTCTTTGTTCCTTTCCGTCCTTTTGTAGATATCGGTGCATATTACCGGATACGGACACCCAAAGAATTACCACATTGGGACTATATCATGCGAGGCGGATCTTGATTCTCCGCCACCACGAGTTTTTCGTGTTCTAGATCTTTACCTCATATTTTCCTCATGATATTTTCAAGGAGGATTGATATCAAACTTGACTGGGTACAGTGTATAGAATGTCTCAATTTGGAAAACCCCCAAGTTCTATTTGCTTGGCTAATAAGTAACACAAGCCTGGTGCATTGGAGCTAAGAAAAGTCAGATATATGATGCCAAGAGTAAGCTTTCGCTCATTTCCGTTATTTTATGGGCTATCGCATTATCAAAAAGAAGCGTAAATTGAGGATACACGACGTTTACATAAGATTGCCTATTCCCCCGACACCAGTCTTTCCAACCTATCCCCCACTGATCTAGCTCCGATAAGTGGTGCTTTACGGAGTAACAATGTGGGAAAACGCATAAGTTACGTATCTCCATAATCCCCACTGCTATGGATTTGCCTTGGAAAATAACCTACAGCATCCGCAAGGGGACCCCACTTACGAGACGTGAAACTGAGCTCAAAAGCAGAAAACTTAAGCAATCAGAAATGATGCAGCCGCTATAAGAACAAATTGTATCAGATGTATACGCCAATCTTTGACGTGACGCCACCAAGACATCGACAAGCAGTGTATAGGGTCATCGTAGCATATTACCATATACGGCTAGCGCGATTGTTCCACAAAAGGCAATCCGCGATATGATGCGGCCCGATATCAAAAAAGCCCTGCCAGGAACATCGCAACCATCCACTGGTTCATGCCGCATTCCCATTTTTTAAGGGATCTACTCGTCAATGTGGGTCTATACAAATAGTATATAAAACCATGGCACCCCCAGGGGTATATGCAACGTTTCACTACAGGTTATCACAACAACATCTCATACTTCTGTCTGGGTACACCCACCATTATACCCATTGACCTATTTCGACATAATGGAAACACCGGGATCAGATAATACCCATACGAACGCAACTAGCCGGACTGCTTCTTTCGGGTCTGGTCACGAGCCGCTTGACTACCTCAACCTACCTGTCCGTGAAGTTAGCGATGGCGCCGATCTTCGAGAATACACCACCGAGACAAGGGAAGGCGAGATCATCAAGCCTGTCAAGTCCAATGTTACCGGCAAGCTGGAAGACTGGAAGTTGGTGACTTTCACCATCGATGATCCCGAGAACCCTAAGAACTGGTCGAAGCTTTACAAATGGTATTGCACCATGGTGGTTGCTTTTACCTGTTTCGTGGTGGCTTTTGCTAGCAGTGTTATCACTGCCCATATTGAAGGCCCTATGGAAGATTTTGGTGTCTCGCGTGAAGCCAGCTTGGTGGTTGTCACTGTGTTTGTCGTTGGATTCGGTGTTGGTAAGTCCGCCCGCCGGTTTCCACTCCTGATTATTGTGGTTCTAACTCTATCTAGGCCCCATGTTCTTTGCTCCTATGTCAGAAATGCTCGGACGTCGGCCAATATATGCTGTCACCCTCTTGATTGCCGTTGTCTTCATCATTCCATGTGCCGTCGCCAAGAACATTGGAACCCTAATCGTGTGCCGTTTGATCGACGGTATCGCTTTCAGTGCACCTATGACTTTGGTCGGTGGTACTCTCGCCGATTTGTGGAAGAGTGAAGAGCGAGGTGTTCCGATGGCAGCGTTCAGCGCTGCGCCCTTCATTGGACCCGCCATTGGTCCTCTTGCAGGTGGTTTCCTTGGTGACCACGCTGGCTGGCGGTGGCTATACTGGCTCCAGTTGATTCTGAGCTTCGTTGCGTGGGTTCTGATTACCTTCACCGTCCCCGAGACATATGCGCCAATCCTGTTGAAGAAGAGAGCCCAGAAGCTCCGTAAGACCGAGAACGACGACAAGTACACGACTGAAGCTGAGCTTGACCCTCGTCCCTTTGGCGAGAGGTTGCGCATCTTCCTCTTTCGCCCCTTCCAGCTATTGTTCCTCGAGCCTATCGTCTTGTTCATCGCTCTCTACATGTCTGTCTTGTACGGTTTGCTATACATGTTCTTTGTTGCGTACCCCATCGTCTATCAATCTGGTAAAGGGTGGAGTGCCTCTTCAACCGGTCTTATGTTCATTCCTCTGGCTATCGGTGTGCTCATGAGCGCAGCCTGTGCTCCCCTCGTCAACAAACACTACCTCAAGATCTCTGCTCAATGCGGTGGCAAGCCTCCTGCCGAGAAGCGTCTGATTCCCATGATGTGGTCTTGCTGGTTTATTCCCATTGGTCTGTTCATCTTTGCTTGGACCTCCTATAAGGATCTGCACTGGATAGGACCGGCAATTGGAGGCTGGCCTGTTGGTTTCGGCTTTATCTTCCTGTACAACTCGGCCAACAACTACCTTGGTATGTACAGCACCGTCACATTGGATATGAATATTTACTAACAATATTTCTAGTGGATACTTATCAGCACCAAGCAGCCTCCGCTCTCGCTGCGAAGACCTTCCTTCGTTCGATGTGGGGTGCTTCTACTGTTCTTTTCACCGAACAAATGTACGACCGTCTGGGCTACCAGTGGGCCAGCTCGCTTCTTGCCTTCATCGCTTTGGCTTGCTGTCTCATTCCCTATGTTTTCTACTTCAAGGGAGAAGCCATCCGCCGTTTCTCGAGATACGCTTTCAGTGACGATGAGGAGCAGGCCATCAAGGCCTAGATGGTTGATTAATATGATTAGGGGATGCCGATACAGGAGGTGGTAATAGTTCCAGTTTGTACAGGGTCATCTTTGCTTCGGGACTTTGCTGGGATGACTGGGAGAAAAGAAATGTCTGCATGGCGTTCATGATTTCTAATGCATAACGGGTTTTGTATGCGAGCGCCGCAAGCGACCGCACCCACTAATTATACTTACTATTATTACGTATTTTATACAACTACAATGCAAATTTATTGAAAATAAAGCTATTTAGACCTCTCTTGCACCTATTTCTCTTATGTCTTGGCATTATCATGAATGAAATTCCCCGTTTTTAAACGCTCTCTGCTTTCCTTACTAAGATTCCTAGTTTACCTGCTATAGACTTTCTTACTCCAAGAGAGCCTGGACGATATATGAGAAAATTCAACCTTTACGCTGGCGAAGAAGTAAAAGTACAAAAATATAAATATAAAATATAAATAAAAAGTATAAAACGTACGGGATGGAGTAAAAAAAAAAAGGAATAGAGTACAAGAATTTTCTCCAAAACCAAGAATTTAATACCTCGCCGGGTGTGTCAGTAGAAAATGAGTATAAAAAAAGAACGTGGGTGAAGATCGCTCACTTCGGGGGCTTGAGGTCCGTGCATTTCTGATATCATGCCACCCCCCGAGTCTTTCTACCTTTTCAACTGTTTTTTTAAAATATATTTCGGGTCAAGTGGCCGATGTCAATGAAATTGACGCGAAATGGACGACTAGGTAGTGTGGGCGGCTCGTATGTAGGTTACGTTATCAATAAAGAAGTGCAAGACCCCCACCCCATTTCTCATGTGATATAATCATGTGACAGTCCTACTGATCTGTAGTCAAGGTAATCCCAGCACGGCCCATCTACCTACAATCATCCGACAGAAAAGTACCACGGGTCCGGCCCTTATTACCTCGCCCAAAAGGCTTATAGTATCCAAAATGCCATCTGGAAGCTGCGCTTGCCGCCACATCCGCTATACGGCCTCTGTGCAGCCAAGCAGGCTGGTCAACTGCCACTGCGTCGAATGCCGTAAGCAATCCGGTGCACCCTACCTGGCCTTCGTCGACTTCCCGACAGACGCAGTCAATTGGGACATCAAGCCCACTGAGTGGCGTTTTAGTGAGACTGCTTCACGCTTCTTTTGTCCTCGCTGCGGCTCGACCGTGATGATGACCCTGGACTGTGAGCCTTCGAGCGTGGGAATCGCCGTGGGGACACTGGACGATGACGGAAGTGTCCAGGTCCCGCCGCCTACATCTCATATCTTCCTAAAGGAGAAGGCTTCTTGGTTCCAGCTGCCTGATGATGGGGCGAAGAGGTTTCAGGGATGGACGGAATAAATGGTATACGTGCATAGTTGCTAGACTGCTGTGTTCGTCCATTGTTTGGTCCCGAAAATAGTTGATTAACTGGGGAAGGAGAGTGTGTCAGGCATTCTTGACGGACAGCACATTTTCGTTCTCTTTCTCTCTAAGTGTAGTCTGCTTTTATAAGTTTCACCTTTCGAAAGTCGCAATGGGACCGTCATTTAGTGGTTGCTGTCATACTTCGTGTAGGCCTATGATTGCTCCGTTTTGAGGCGCCATCATTGTCCGATAGTATTGCCTTCAGCTCCTATAGCTGGTTTTGCACTTCTCTGTAGTAAGAGATGATTCCACAACGTGCACCACTCGCGATTTTCTTAGAACTTACGGCGGCAAAGGGGAGCATGATTGACGGTATCAAAGCAACAGAGTTAGTGCGGCGGCGGGCTTCCACAGTCACGGCAAGGCTTGACACTTGAACCCCACTTTGATAAGGCGTCGCTCGTTGCATGAACCAGTCAAATATCCATGACTACCTACTCGGGGATAACATGTTGACTTAAAGCAAAAGCGACATCTAAGTGATTAAATATGAACAAAGTAGATTCTTATGTGGGATTCGTATCTTTACCACTTTTTGTGACCCTCAGCATGCCCTTCATTCTTTATTTCCTTTACCATCTCGTCCTCTTTCCGCTATTTCGTTCCGATCTTCGCTCTGTCCCAGGCCCATTCCTCGCTAAAGTGACTGGCTTGCATCGGCTGTTGCTGGTTCGTACTGGCTTGGCCCACGAACATCACCTCCGCCTTCACGAGCGACGTGGCCTTTTCGTACGTCTTGGGACCAACAATGTCTCTGTTGGCTTCCCCGCCGCGATCCCCATTCTATGTAATACACGAACTCGATATGTTAATCAGCCTTTTACCCGGTCATGAGAAACGTCGCCCATGGGAAGGTTGTTCCTACTATATCCTCCTCAACCAGGGGGAGTGGACTTCCCCAACCCTTTATAGGCCTAAAATTGGAAGCTTGGAACATTCACAGTGGAACGCAAAACATATATTTACCCAGTAGTGATAGCCTGCATATCGCTCAGCGAGAGGTCAGGGTAAATGAACACGTCCATCCATCCATCTAGGTTCTAACATGCAACCAAGAACTAATATATACCTGGGCTTAGATACGTCTTATTCATGAAATAAAGTATGTGCAAGTGTGGAATTGATTCCGATGTTGTTTTGCTTCCAGTTAAACGAGTCTCATATCACAACATCACGAAATGGCCACACCCTCCGTTTGTTATAAACAATATGTACATACGGCAGTTGTAATCAAATGAAGGATGCAGTTTATGAATAAAGGTGTTCCGCAAGTTCGGATTCGTTGATAGTTTTCTCAGGCCTGACCTTGCTGGCATCAGAAACTGGTCTAGGAGCTAGGTGGCCAATTCCTAAAAGCTAGAAGTAGATAATTCACACCTTACGGGGGTTGGCAGCCCCCTGCGGTACAGTGGAGGCCGGGACAGCAGCGTTCCATCGTTTTACCACAGGCTATCCATCGCTTAAGACATGCGTATGAGTACGCCATGGGTATTGAAAATTCACATGGTACGGTAGTAGCCAAAGGGATTGCCAGGAACTCTACATATACTGGTCTTCTGAAAAAGGCAGACGAAGAGACGTAAGTATGTTTATAATTACGATGATAGATAGTAGTGAGGCATGAAAATCAGGCAATAAAGGAGATGATTTAAGTCCGATCCCCAGAAGCAGGTATCTTACAGCAATTTGTAGTGGTGAAGTACACCTGCCGAGAGTATTCCCGTGAATGTCGTGGTTAATTCCGGCCATATTTACATGAGACCAAAGCATTGCATAATCCTCGGTGCTCGGAGCTTGTCGAGACTAAGGTCACAACAAGTATGAGGGAAGATGATATGTGAATAAAATGGAGGCTATACACAAAAAGGTGGTCATCTCACGGAGATATAACCCAAAGTAGTCGACAAAAACAAAGCCTTAAATAACCCTGTATACATCATGCCGTCTCAACAAATTCGTCTCTCGATTTACCGTTGTATAAAGTGAAATCCTGAATCGCAGAGCGAAATTCTGCCTCTTCCTCCCGCAACTGCACAATGATACAGCCATGCGCGCGCCAGATGGGCTTCATTTCGAACAACCGGTCCATACGTTCCAACGGCACACCCTTTGTCTCGGGGATGAAGAAAAACACAAAGAAAACAGAGAAGATCATGAGGGTAGCGAAGAAAAAATAAACGCCATAGCCCATTTGAGCAAACATTTGTGGTGTGAAACGGGAGATGAGAAAGTTCCACAACCAATTGCTGGAGGAGGCGACAGCCTGCGCCAGAGAACGCATATTAGGATCAAACATTTCCGAGTTCAAAACCCATGGTGTACCATTCCAGGTAGGAGAAAACATGGCAGTGTAAATGTAAAAGAAAACAATTGCCATGATACCGGCGCTGTCGAGCTTGGCGGTGGGATTGTGTTCGGGGTCTTTGACCTTGATGTAGGCGCCGATAATCCACAAGCTGATAGAGCCACCAATGGCGCCCCCAATAAGCAAATTGCGGCGCCCTACGCGGTCGATAAGGAACAACAACCAGAGTCCAGTGACGACTGTCTTGACGACACCAAAAATGCCGGACATTTGCTGATTCAGGGAGCCAGTAATTCCAATACTCTTGAAAACTGTGGGGCTGTAATAGTTGATGGCATTAATGCCAGAGCAATTTTGCCAGAAAAAGAGCATGAAGCCCAAGAACAGCCGCCACATGACCCTGGGATTGGTGCCGGCCGCCTGAAAAGGGTTCCAAAAACCGGTGCCGATCTGAGCATTTTGCTCCTCAATAGCCTGGTCAATGGCCCTGATTTCCTCAACAATGTAAACTTCGTGTTCAGAAAGTTGACGTATCCAGCACAGGTTCTTAATGGCTTCCTGGCGGCGCCCGCGGCCGAATAGCCAGCGGGGAGATTCGCGGATCAACACGACACCAATCAGGAGAAGACCAGAGGGGATAAGTTGGACAGCAAATGGAATGATCCATTGTTCGTGGTTTTCAGGGAGGTGTTGCGAAACGCCAAACTGCACCCATCTTAGTCTTGTTCATCTGCATAAATGATCAGGGGAGACATACGTTAATCCAGAACCCGACCAAACCCCCAATCTGCCATCCCAATTCATAGATACCGACCAGTCGCCCACGAATTGCGGGTGGCGATAATTCTGAAATATAAATTGGAGTTAAGTTCGAGCCTGACCCAACACCTATGCCGGCCAGGACACGCCCAGCATACAGCAAACCAAAGCCACGGCTCCCATTAGCCCCCAGCATCAACCCAGCACCCAGAGTGAAAATGATACCAGTAATCCACAGGCCCCATTTCCGACCACAGTAAAAGCCAATGGGATAGGCAAATAGGGCACCGAAGAAGGCACCGGCCTGGTAGAGGCAGACGATGTTGGCCTTGACGAGGTTTTGTTTAGTTACAGACCATTCCTCAAAGTGAAATTCGTCGCGGAATGATTGCAATTCAACAGTCTGTCCAATGAAGGCACTGTCATAGCCGATCATGCATGAGGCACAAGAAGCGACGGCCGCAAGCAGATAAATGCGCCAGTTGTAGACTTGAGGGGGCGTCGGCCGATCCTCGATCACAGTAAGAATACCCATTGTGGATGGGCTTCATCAGACGGACCATGGTGAGAAGGAAAGATAGGCTAGATATACAAGCCCAAGGACAATGTGTTCGACGACATCCGGTCCCTTCATTTGGGTACCGGGAACCCCAGATCCACAGCCCCAGTGTTGTAGTGGCGAACCAGATCCCTTCAAATGCGGGTTTCGATATCCGGGGTTTCGATATCCGGGGTACTTAGAAATAACACTACGGTAGCCGGGGCCAGGGGGTGGCTGGGAACAAAAGAAAGTAATCACGTGGCGGGTAATTTCACAACCGAGCCGGTCTTATTCTGTTTTCAATGTTGTTTAGTATCATCTATAGATCAGGTTTCTATGCAGTATTCGTAAGATATTTGTGACAGCATTCCACCCCGGACGGGCAAAAAAGGGAAATTCTCCCCCCGTATATCCGGCGACTCTATCTTGACTAAAGATACCCCGCTAGCAAAGTTCTATAGGTTTGCTTTGGAAAGTATTTGATGTCATATACAAAGACCGGTCTATAGAAAATAGGTCCGGTCTGTGGGGGCGGGGCTCCAATCAGATTCTGCGGGTATTTGATCATCCATCTTCCTTATAATAGTGACCCCCAAGGTATCGTGGGTACTGCATCTACAGACACATTAAAGCAAACTAAAATCATGTCTGCATCCTGGCCTCCCTCGGGTGCAAACGAATTTGGTATCGCAACCTTGTCCCTCGGTAACTGGAGAGAGCATCGACTCGCACCTCGACTGGAGGCAGCAGCCAAAGATGGTTACCAGTGGATTGATTTATTTGATGAGTGTTGGGCCGCATACCTTGAGGAGCATGGCCTGCCAGGAGACCAGCTATGGGAGGCCACTGTTGAGAATCTGAAAGTGGCCCGCAAGCTAGGCGACCTGGTAAAGTCTCTTGGGATGCGCATCGCCTGCACGCAACCCCTCCGGACGATAGAGGGGATCAAAGATCCGGTCGAGCGCCGTGCCACTCTGGACCTTGTCGCAAAGCGCTTCCCTTTTATGCGTGCTTTTGATACCGACCTTGTGTTCATGTGCGCCAATATTCGTACTGATAGCGGCGTTACATCGGACCTTAAGAGTGTTGCACGCGATCTGGCAGAACTTGGTGATATGGCGGCAGCATACGCAAAGGTCGATGGTGGACCTATGCTGAAAATTGGATATGAAGGATTGTCATGGGCAACAAGAAACACTTGGTCGGCATCATGGGAGGCGGTGCGATTCGCAAACCGTGCCAATGTCGGTTTGATTATCGATGCATTCAACGTTCTGGCTGTCGAGTTCGCAGATCCTTACAACCCTGAAGGACACGGTCGTATATATTCTACTCTAGAAGAGTCCATTCAAATTCTCACCGACTCGATGGCATCTTTGGCTACCACTGTCCCCGGGGACCGAATCTTCTTCTTCCAATGCGGAGACGCAGAATTGGTGAACCCAGCGACATTTTTGCCGCCATCCGACCCAAACACCCCTGCTCTTCTTCCATGGTCGAGAAGCCATCGCCTTTACCCTTTAGAACAATCGCACGGTGCCTATATGCCGGTGGAACTGGTCGGAGCTGCAGTAATGGCAACAGGCTATCAGGGACCAGTATCGCTCGAGGTTTTCAATGCGTCCTTAAACAAGCCCGGAGATGATGTTCCAACAGTTCACTCCGCCAGAGGAATGAAGGGATTACAGAAGCTTACCGAGACCGCACAGGGTCTACCTCCTTTTTGGCAAAGCAAAGCCGATGCTCAAAAAGCCATGGCTAAAGTCATCGAACGCCTACGGAGTCAAAAGGGATGCTCGGGCAAACTGTGACTCTGGCTATCGACTGGTTACGGAGTACAAACAATGGATATGGGTCCAATTTTGTATCTAGCTTCTGTCCCAGTGGAATGGCTTTTGTTGAATCTTCTCACGTTATAAGATCCACTCCCTGTTGATATAAAAGGCTGCGGACTCGTTGTATATTGCGTTGTTGGTGATGAGAGCACAGCTACAGAGGTATAGAATTAAATAGTAAAACTCGAGCCTGGCAAAAAGCGAAGATGCGGTGGTGAGAGTAAGATGATAGAGGTGAGAGATGAATCTATATGTATGGAATTACATGACCCAACATCCATCGAATAGATTTAAGAATATTGGATGTAGCTGTATCGAAACCGGTTAATTTTACGGAACATTCAAAGGACACCACCGAATCCAGGACCGAAAATCTCTCTGAACATGTCGGCAAATATTTCTTCTGTGGGGTCATCATCGAAGGTTATATCAGTGGCTGCCAGGAAGGGATCATATTCCGACATATACGACTCGCATGGCCTTGCTTGGTCTGCTCCCTCTTCCTGCGATGTAATTCCCGGCGCGTCGTGGCTCCTTTGACCGTACGGCATGCTAGGTTGTATTTGTCCCTGCAAATTCCATGATTTGGCTCTGAGGATCATCATGAGGTGCTGTCCAAGTAACGCTGCAATGCCGAAGCGATGTGAAGGAGTTGTACCCGCGCGCTCAAGCTGCAATGCAACCTGGCCCAGCAAGGCAAAGAGTTCAACTTGACATTCGGGCCGGGCTCCGTATATTGTCGGGAACAACTTCAGAGTCAGAACGGCGGCATAACATATCATTGCCCATGTTGGGGCCAACATTCCGTATAGAGGTTCTCCAAAGGCTTGCAAATCCTGTACAGCAACTTCGCAGATTTTGACGGCAGCTTCGAAGCAGTCTTCCCGAATTGCAACCATATTCAGACCACCACACATGGTATCTTGGAGTGCAATTGATAATGTCCAGAGTCTTCCATGCAGGTACACATACCGAAGAAAGATCTCCGACATCTTTTCAGAATGGGAACTCGGCAGGTTGACGGAGTAGGGCAGCCAAACATTGCACCAAGGCTGAAGAGAAGTATCAACCAGCTCCTTAATCCGTTGTGAATTTGACGTTGCTAATTGTGCTTGATCTCGCAATTTAACGTGCAGGGAGGCGAGTTTCTTTCTCAATGCAATAAAGGCACAGGTATGCCGATCAGCAGAATCTGCCAAGGGGTGTAACCACCAGCTTTCAATACCCCTAGTCAAAGCTGTTTCTGGAAAGCTGTTTGTTCGACCATAGGCAGCACTGTTGGCTCGCTCCCACAGTAAAATCCTGAGCCATGTTCGTTCTCGGTTACGGTTTAGTCGCTGGTTGTATGCAGAAGCTTCAGCCGATCCTTCCAGTAGTTCATGCCCTTTGAGCTTCTCAGATCCCGATGCGGTCACCGACGATCTCATATTCTGGTTTGGAGAGGTGGGCATAGAGATTAGTGACACCTTGGGTCGAGCATCCTGATCCAGCCCAAGTTCCATAGCCACACCGATGGCGTACATTGTATAAAGCCAAGAACGCTCTTCTGCGAGGGTCTTTGCGGGAGTAGCGGAAAGTAGGGAAATGTAATATCCCTGAACGATTTCCACAGATTTGAAACCGCTCGTATGCACATAGTTCGAAAGCTTTTCGCCATGCAGACGTAGTCGCTTGGCAATCGAGGCGGATCCATGGTCAAACTGGGCTGTGAGAGCTAGTATCCACGTGAATAACAAGGAAGACCGCGACCGCACAAACTGCGGCGTGTGAAGGACTGGGTCGAGGATGCCGTTTATTGGGTGTAGTTGAGTGAAGTAGCTGCGGGTAATGATGATCAGCTTGCAGGCTTTTGCCTAGACGAAAATCACTTACACTGGGAAAAGATAGCTGGCCTCCTCCATAGTGACCAGTCCTAGATCCACCGGGTCCAGATCTGGGCCAACATCGCAAGGATGGTTATACGTAGGCACCTTGAAGTATTTTGGATATTGTCGTTCCCTCTGAACAGGTAACATTAGAGCATCGAGCCCATCTTCAAGACATCGTCTATTCAACTGCAGTCCGAGCGAGATATACCCAGGCCGCTGAAGTAGACGACTGCCAAGACTCCCAGTAACCCTATCACCCGGTCTCTGAGTAGGACTCAAATCCTCAGCCAATGCATGGGATGTGTGCGTCGGCAAGGAGGAGCATTCCAACAATCGTGCAGCATCTGATGCGTCAGCCAGCAACGCAAGTGGGTTGCTGATTGACTCTTGATCGGAGCGAGGCAATTGAGCAGACGAAGAAGACACCTCATGGACGCTAGCTCCTCGGAGTTCGAAATTTCGTTCTCTGTAATTGGAAGGCGTCGAGATGGCATATGTCTCCTCTAATGGGGGAGAGGACACATTATATCCGGTCTTTTCTTTCGACCCACGGGAAGGGACCAGCTGCGAAGTTGACTGCTGGTTGACAGGAAGGCGAACGATCTCATGAAGACTCTCCGCTTGATTTTCCATCTTTGCCTTTTTCATTTCCGACTGCAAGTTGCGCACGGCTTTCTCAATTCCTCGGTAGCGCCCCTGAGCGCCTCTTTTACGTCCAAGCGGTCGTGATTCCGGTATTCTGCAACTTCGATTGTTTCGTTTACATCGTTCACATGGTGTTTTTAAAGAGTTTTGTCGCCCATCTTTGCTATACATGATGCATTTCATCTGCCAAGTTCTATCAGCTGTGGTTGCCAGTTTCTAACCGACAGAATTGTTGCCTCACCTTCAACCTTCGGCATGCTTCGCACGCAGCCGCAGCAACTGCCCGAGCTTGGCCACTCGTGCTCTCATCTTTGGCTCTAGGCAACATTCTGCAATGATATGAGGATGCAGTGCAAGCAAATCACTTGGTGTGGGCGGAGCCTTCAAGCCCTGAAAATGGCAAAAGTGAAGCGTGACCGGGGCGCGGGAGTAAGTGTTGGAGGATCTCAGCTCTGGTTTTCACACCGCAACAAACCCAGGAACAACTGACCACTCAGACGATGGCCACGTAAAACTACCGCATGTTCGTTATTCCACGGCGCGGGTAAATGCAGAAACCGACGACTCGTTGCATTCATTTCGAAACCGAGCCCGGTCCTGGTGGCGACCGGTCATTTAATTAATTAGCCGGTTCCGAGGCTGACAAAGTAATAGACTGGCAAAGCAAAGATTATTTATTGATCTCCTAATGAGTTTCTGAGGCTGGCATTATTGCATTTTGAGGTCTGTCAAAACAATGGAAGTTATAGAAATCGATACTTTAGTCTGCGGCGGTGGCATGTCTGGCATGGCATGCGCTGCATTTGGAACACAGGCCGGGGCCAGCGTGCTGGTGGTCGAGAAACAAGCAGAAATCGGAGGGTCTTCGAATCTTTCTGCCGGCATGTTGTAAGTGTTCATTGTGCTATCATGCCGGGGTTTACACTCACAATGACGTTATAGCTGGGCGCCTCATACGTACGAGAAGTTGCGATCATGGGTACCAAACGGTGACCCGGTCTTGCAACGGGCATGGATGGATGATTATCTTCCAGCGGTGCAGTGGATGCGCGACAATGCAATCCCTACCGCGAAGCGATTCGACGGCATTATGACAATTGGTTTGTCAAATCCGAGACTTTCTGCGCAAAAGGCTTCCTACTCACTTCGGCATAGGCATCGGTTTCCCGATTCAAATTCCTCATCTCCATAACCTTCAGCGTGGTCGCATTGAATCAAGCAAAACTGGGTCTAGAATCTTGACCCACGCGACCGTGGTCAAGCTCATTCAGGAAGCTCCCGAAATTGAGGGATCTCGCGTTACGGGTGCTATTGTCCGTCATCAGAAACCAGGATCCTCACCTGTACTTTATGAAGTACGGGCAAAGATTGTTGTACTAGCCACTGGTGGCTTCCAGGGCTCCTCGAGTCTGACAGCCACCTATCTGGGCCAAGGGGGCGACAATATTTTTGTCCGGTCTAACTCAGGATCTGTAGGTGACGGCCTCAGCTTGGCCACTGCAGTGGGTGCTGGGACAAGTCGTGGGATGAACACTTACTACGGCCACCTTTTGGCAGCTCCTGTTCGAGCGGAACAGGTGAATCCAAAGGACTACCTTCCCTTGGCTCAATATCGTAAGATTACTCCTGTCTCTTTTCATTTTCCAGGTAAATCTAATGGTGATATAGAAAGCAAGTACTGCCTCTTGTTAAATGAAGCGGGGCGACGATTCGCAGATGAGACGACTGGCGATGAAATTGTGAATCAGTACTTGGCCAAGCAAGAAAAGCGCCGTGGATTTATTCTATTCAAGTATGTCAACCTGCCGACGAGGCACGTCTTGAAACAAAAAGCTGATCCATCTTACTATTAGTGAGAAAACGCGCGTTCAACACTGCTTGGGTGCATTGTTTCCTAACGCAGGGGATGTAGATCGCCTCCAAAAGGCCTGTGAGTATGGCTGCAATGTTGCCAAGGCTTCCAACCTCTCCGATCTGGTTGATATTCTTAGCACGTGGGGTGTGGACGGAGCGCAAGCAGCTCGCTCAATTGATCACTATGACCGCGTCGTTCGCCAGGGGCAGACCGATGCCACGCTCGATGCTCCCGTGGGTCGTGGAGGACAGCCTCCTGCATCCTTGGTTGACGGTGAAGGTCCGTTTTACGCCATGGAAGTTCAACCATCGTAAGTACAGTTCTATTCGAATTCGCCAATCAACATGGCATCCTAGATCCCAGAAAGTATTCAATGCTGACATATGCCCAAGTATCACTTTCACATATGGCGGGATTTCAATCGACAGTCAAGGACACGCTTTGACACGGGACAAAAAAGTCATTCCAGGCCTGCTGGTCGCTGGAGTCGATGCCGGTGGATTTAGTAACTTAGGCTATGCAGGCGGCCTTGCCCTCGCTTTTGTGACCGGTCTGTGGTCCGCTCGAGCCGTCGCGCGCGAGCTCGGATTGCCTGAGCCGCGCCTCCCTGCTGCTGATGTCAAAGATGCAGTGCCGCTTGAATCGAAGCTCTAAGTAAAATGTGGAGGGACAAATCAAGCTATGTATTTTACATTGAGAATTAATTTTGGCTACATTATTGCTCAAATGCAATTATTATATATTTTGTAAAGCCGAGATAACATAGCCAACCCATAATGAGGATGAGGACGGCCAAGATTAGAGATTTTTTGGCAATTATATTCAAAAGGGGGCTTTAGGGGTTGGCAATATTTAAATGGGTGGCTTCAGGGATTTTCAGTGGAACTGGGGAAGAGGTTCCTTTATAGCCGCTCGCGTCCTTTTCAACCATCGGTCGATGCACGAGAGTAGTGAAAAAACCCCATCTTTTTGTTGTGTCTGTGTCGGCTATTGCATATCAAAGAGCAAACAAATCAAACCACACAACTATGTACATGGTCCTTGCTGCAACCTTCACCGTCGGGATAGGTGCAACAGCCCATCTGGTATATGCCTTGCGCGTCAGGACAGGACAGAGCTTCAGGGAATCCCCCTGAATTGTCGAATAATACCCTTAGGCGTCTCTCCGTCTAGTTTATTCCGAAAATGGGACTGTTCTCGATGCGCTAACACGCTGACCGTAGGAATGAATGGCCAGATGACATATATTGAAGCCGATGCATGGCTGCACGATATTCCAGGCTAAGCAATATCCCAATTATGTGCGATGTCTGCCGGATATGGTGAGGAGTCGATTTTTCGTAGAAATCGAGGCTCGACTTAACACGTTGAGGTGAACTTTTTGGGTATAGTATTAGGATACGGGTGAGCGTTTATGAATATGAGTAACTTAGATGAATTCGTGGTTGCCTTCGAGTCAACTGTTGAACAATTAAACCGGAAATAGCAAAGGTTGGTCTATATAATGTTGATCATACTGTAAAAGTGGTGATGAGAAGCACTATAGGATGACCGGTAAAAAAAAAGACGGCACCTCTCGGACAATAGTACTGTGGTCAATTACTGCCTATTGGCAGAATAAAACATGATTATACCACCCTCTCCTATCACCCCGCACATATCGCGTGTAAACCCCCTAAAACCTTAAGTCACGCCTAAGTTAATTGCGTGAAACGTTTAGGCCTCTGTCATCGGTCGATTTCTGCCATATATTCCAGGCCAGCTATTTAGTTAACAGAAAAACGGCGCTTTCCACTGTAGAATAAATAAGGATAGAATAATAGCGTGTCAGGAGTTGTCAACAAGTGTTAACGGCCAAGCAATGCTGGTGAAAGCATGAAACCGATTAGAGGTAAGACGTACGTAGGGCTCAAAAACAGAAGAGACTCCACCTCCACCCCAGAGGATGGAACTTCTTGGAATTGACACCTAGCACTCCCTCGCTATCGTCTTGGCCTGGGTTGCGAAACATAAACTCCATCCCTTAATTTCCATGTAAAAAGCTAGCATGCAAGCTTGGTGGGCCAGAGCCAGTAGAAGCGAACGACCGATGGCTATTTTTCTGGTATGTGGGTCTACCTCGAGATGGGATGGAATTGTGCCTGTCACATTTCCTGCTTGATGCATAATGCAATGATCAGCCGCAATCATAGCGAACGGGAGGAGTGACGTGCAAATTCTCCGAGACGGAAGCCTTAGTGGCGGTAGGAAGTTTAAGAAATTAGTAGGTGGAATGTGGAATGTAACTAGCCCTTGATCAACAGTGACACATCTAACTTTTGGAATTCTTTACTGTAACTCAACTCATTTCAACATGCGTCGTCAGCCGACCTAGAGGGTCAGTGCTAGCCCGTAGAAGTCAAACGCGCTCAGGGTAGGTATATTAATATACTGGGCCAACTATTGATCGAGTTGCACTTAACACGCGCAGGCCACCAATTAAACATTGAAGAAACACACCAAGCAACGAGAGGCTTGGTCAAAGTCGACAAGTATGCTCAACTGGCCAGATGAACAGCATCATGAATTGAAACTGAGGCTGTGGAGGATGCTGAAGTGAAATTCGAGAGAACAGGATGATTGGAAGGAAGATAGAGGGTGCACTCCGTGGCATTCATTAGTGATTTCCTATGTTCATGGATTTATGGGATTTGCAGGATCTACAGGAATGGGCCAAGTCCGCACTTCTTTTACAATCAGCCTCTGTTTCCTCTTTGGGAACATCATATGATCTCATCTCAGGCGTATGGCTTCGAGGTTTTGCTTCGGTTAGAATGAAGTGCCGGTATAGTCATTAAGGCAACTATAATTCCAAGCCTTTCGTGATCGCCGTCGGTGCTAGGTCACTTCTAGACCTTACCAACAAGTATCATAACGGCTCATTGAATGAATGTCAAGCCAACGGACGCATCGGAAAGGAGTAGAATGAGTATAGTCAACGTGACCAAAGCTACTTGGTTTCCATTGGGGGCTTGGGTCTCCGGAAGGGTGAAAATGCATGTAAAAATATTCTAGATACTACCTATAGAATTGAAGGAATGAGAGTATTCCGTTGAAAGTTTCCTCGTCAGGCTATAAAAGGGTGGAACATCCTTAGGTAGAATGATTCATCCCACACATTTCTACCTCGTGAAAGAAGTTGTTTCCGACGCCATGTTATTGAAATACTATGCTCTTGGGGCATTTGCCCTTGTGCCTGCAATTAGTGCTCTCCCCCTGACAGAGCATCCTGATGCGCTTTCGCGCCACACCGATGTGGCCGTCAATCATTACTGGAACAACAAGCACCTCGATAAGCGCGACTGGGATCGCAAGTACCCCGACAAGAACGACGGCAAGTACGCCGACAAGAACGACGACAAGAACGATGACAAGAACGATGACAAGAACGATGACAAGAACGATGACAAGAACGCCGGCAAGTACGGCGGCCAGTACGACGACAAGAACAATGACAAGAACGCCGGCAAGTACGACGGCCAGTACGGCGGCCAGTACGGCGGCCAGTACGACGACAAGAACGATGACAAGAACGCCGGCCAGTACGACGGCCAGTACGGCGGCCAGTATGACGACAAGAACGATGACAAGAACGCCGGCAAGTACGCCGACAAGAACGACGGCAAGAACGACGACAAGAACGATGACAAGAACGCCGGCAAGTATGGCGGCCAGTACGACGACAAGAACGATGACAAGAACGCCGGCAAGTACGGCGGCCAGTACGACGACAAGAACGATGACAAGAACGATGACAAGAACGCCGGCAAGTACGACGGCCAGTACGGCGGCCAGTACGATGACAAGAACGACGACAAGTACGACTAAATGTGTCGGTTCGCTGCATTGTCCCCCTACCGTAGCCTGAAGAGGTTATCGTGGTCTGGTGTTATTGACTGTGTTGATGACCTCGGTTCAGGTTTTTGTCAGATGAAGCTATTTGTTTTCCCTGTGCCTTTATCTGAATGCAGAGATTATTCGTGTTTTTGCTACGAAATTGCAACGTCCAATTCTTAGGCCTAAAGTCCTTGACGAACCTTGTCAGTAATGTCATATAAGAGATATGGGGATTCTGGAGAGGTGTGGAATGATTTTCGGGGGTGAAACACTATTTCCTGGGACCTGTACGCGTCGCAAAATTTATACAATGAAATGGGGAAGGCACGATGGCAGTCTGACATAGCAGACGGGTCGATATCAACGAGGACAGCACAACCAACCACTCCCAAGCCCAGTACAGACGTAGAGAGCGGTCTCTGTAGGAGGCTATCGCACTAGAAATGAAGCTGTATCATGAAAGAAGAACGTTATGGAAAACTGTAGTCATATTGATCATGGTACGATGCTGCTCTCTCTCGGAAAAGACTGCATGCAAGCTTCCTAGGGCATTTGTCATACCTCAGGCCACTAATACACTACTGTCACGGGTTCCACCACTACAACAAGTAATATCCTTAATATGGACAAACTCAATTGGACGAGGGTTTCTAGTGGAAATTCTAAAACAGCATACGCAATCCAAGTCCAATTATACCGTACTCTTGTGACGGAAGACCTAGCTCATTTCAGAGCAATAACACCTAGTCTAAGGAAAAAGGAAACGCCTACGGAAGAGTCAGTCGGGGTTTCTAGTTGCATTGACAGACTCCTCTAGCTAGGAAAATCTTTCGCTCCTTTCGCGGCTCTCGGCGGCCAGGTAATATCTAGCTCTATGATTGGTTGCCCAAAATTTCATGCGGAAGCCCGGCGGGGGACAGTTCCTGGGCGTCGGCCGTCCATCTTGGGGGGAAAACAACGTCCGGCATGGCTTCCTTGGCCTTTACCTAGCAGATACAACACATCAGATGAGCCTCCAATGATTTTTGGAATATCATGGTTCTGATAATTTCCAACCATATTTCGGAAAGAACTTCAATTGATTTCATAACTGATGGATATCACTTCCCGACTCGAGAAACAGCAAAAGGTAATGGACCTCGCAGCCAAAATTGGAAGCAAGTTCATCTCCTCATCCGTCGTCGAACTTTTTTCTTAAAAAAAAAAAAAGAGAAAAGAAGGGGGAAAAAGGAAAACTGAAATTAAAATATTGTATCGATTTGTGCGTCAAACCATGCGTTAATGTGCCTACCGTTACATAACCCGAAATAATGCCATTGCCCGATTAATACCAGACTTTTTGAACACCCTTGTGTCTTGGGCTCCTAGCGGTTCAGGGGTGTTTTTCATTTTCTTTCCCTCACCGAAAGACCGAGAGGAATGCTGATATTTCTGTATTGCTTCTTGGCAGGTGTGCCGTACCTTTGCAGTCGGCTGCCTTGTTAGTCCAATCCCGCGTATAAGGAGAGACTGAGGCAAAGATCCCTTAGTCGAATAAGGTAACGATGACCATCTCAAGGGTAAACTAAATTCCTTGTATCTACTAGATAAAAATAGTTGAGGCCCACCTTGTGCGGGGCCAAAGCCTCGTATTCAATTCTGAAGAACAAATTAAATGGAAGCAGATTAAATCAAAATCAAAAGAAAGATACAAAGGATCCGAAACTTCATCTATCACACGACTGAGCTGACTATGAATCAATCGTTATCAAGTCAACGCTTGAGAACAACCAACAGGGCTACATTTCCTCAAGGGTTTATGGCCCCTGCATATCGCCAGTCTATAAAAAATGACCAAGTGCATGCAAGAGAATGCACAGCCCCTCTCAAGGTATAGTTGCGTTTGTACTAACTACCACCGAATGGGACATTCCTGATCAGGTTATGCATGTAATGATCCCGTATCTATTGCTAGAACACTACAGATTCACCGGAGACGTCAGATAGTCGAAAGTATGTTTCCTTTTGGTGACATTGGCGCAATTTGAGTGGATATCACTGTGCTTCAACCTGTCGATCACCATGCGACTCTGGTGTTGCCTTACACGCAGAGGGTGCCTCTTAGCCCCCACTTAGCGGCCCCGCTTCTTAGCACTTACTAAGGGTCCTCTAGGGCATGCTGATAGTTTGAGATTTATCTAACTCTGGTCTATCAATCACCTAAGTACTTAGTCTTATATTCTAATATAAGTTGCAGAGTAAGCACACCTAATAGACCTATAGGTACAACCTATATCTTAGCCACCTCCTATTATAGTAACGCTAGATATCTTACTATACGAAGCTAACCTTTTAACTTGTAGGTCGTGCCTAAGTGAAATATATAAAGCGTGATCCTATAGGCGGAGGATTTACCTATCTTAGTAAGGATAGTGTCTTACGTACTATCTCTAGTAACTACGAAGTCCTTAACGCCCACGGACTTAGTCCCGAACAGATCAATACGTTTCTAAATATTATGCTAGTCGAGTCTGTGTAAAAAGTAGACTTTCGCGATCTAGATAGTACAACGGTGATAAGCCAGGAAGGACTCTTATCCCGCGGCCGAAATTCTACCGACAAAGCTAGAGGACGACCCGAAGTCGGCGGAAGAAAGGCGAACGCTAGTGGAACAAAATCGTGCCGCCTATAAAGAGGCAAAGGGGAACCAATAGATCAATTCACTTTCTGGCCCTATCCCACGGGGGTGGTGAACTCTACTAGAGTTCAGGTTAGGGCTTTCCCTTCATGTGAGACCACACAGTCTCTAGGTTTAGATAGGTAAGCGAGGCAGATGGCCCAGTTACGCGTGTAATACAATAAGGTGGATTGTATGAAGAGACTGAACGCTGGTCCGTTGGACGGACCAGCGAGAAATGCTTATATACAGACCGGCCCATTCGTTGGCGGTGAGGTCCTGAATCATCCTTTCACCTGGATGCCTCAGATTTATGCCTCAGGCGCCGTCAACAACCTCAGTCAGGTAGTGGTCCTGACATGTCAATATAAAAGAGAGAAAGGCAAAAAGGGTCAACAAGCTCCACGAGGGAAGCCTGGTTGCAGAGAGTGTGGGATAGCGATATGTATTCAAGGGCAATGTTGGGATTAATTTCATAGCTCTGACTGATTACAATAATTCTGGTTACTGCGATATTACAGGGCCTAGCCAATAAGAACGCGCGTTGTTATAGTACACTAGTAACTGCGCTAAAAATCCTTCCCGGGACGGACGAGGGGATAGACTTGACTAAATAAAGGCCCATCAAGGAATCAGCAAACAAGTGTTCTGCAGCTGCCATTGAGCAAGTCCTTATTATTGATGTTAAACCTCGGATGTTAAAGATACTAAAAATGGCTGGATACGAGAATGCAACCTCGGATAAATCGCGCTACTTGCCTATGAATAGCAGCATTGGGCGAGAACACGAGGAAGTGGGCTGGGTCAATACGAGGATATGAAAATTCCAATGTATAAGTACACCATTATTCTGCAAGGGTCTCTTATGATAGAGCAAGCGTCAACTAACAACGAAACAAGATGAAGTTCCTCGGTCTCGCAGTTGCATTCCTCCCCCTCCTGGCCGCCGCTGCCCCCGTCGCGGACCCCGACGCCGAAGCAGATGGAGAGCTAGACCTTGAAAAGCGCGCATCAGCGCAGACTTGCAAAATCGTCAATGTCGACCACACTGTCAACTGCCGGTACGATGCGAAGTTAGACGCAGGCGCAATCTTTGGGTTTCCCAAGGGAGATAAACTCACCTTTGCGTGCTGGAAGCATGGCGATTGCTTCAATGGGGTTTGGTAGGTTTGATACTAGGTTATGACGAGCTGGATGCTAATGGGAGTAGCTCCTGGGATCAAGTTACATATCTGGGGACGACGTGCTACGTCAATGGGTACTTCACGGATAGTAATTGCTCGAGCAGTATGTCACCTCTTGCTGGTATTTGGACTTGACTAATGATGTTAGAAAAACTCCCCAAATGCAACTAGGCTGCGGCGGTCCTCAATGTCGCTGTGATATGCTGCTAGAGACATGATATAGCTTTTGAAGATGGATTAGAAGTCATCATGATCGTTGTATTACTATGCACGTCTTTTTGTGGTCCATATTCTTATACAGTACATGAGTGATGGAGAGAGAACGTGTGCAAGCCATCTTGCCAGATCGCCATGACGTCTACTTTGCTTGGGCTGTTTGCAGAGAAGATTCCAAGAGGCTCCAAGGGGTTTTACAGTATAATACGGATGACTTATTTGATACTGTTTATGCAAGACAAAACAGCTTGACAGGGGTCTTAAGACCGCTAATCCAATTTAGCCTACCGTACTTTGAATTAGGGCTTGGAAACAATCTACGTGTGCAAGAAGGGGAATCTGATTTCGGATTCGGCAGTAACATTAATCCTCAGAGGCAGCTATTCCTCTATAGCGAGGGAAGTCCTTAGCACCAATTATTGATTAATCTGAAATAGGCCCACTGCTAACCGCTACGAATAAATAGGTATAAGTTAGAGAACATTATATACCCTTCACTAACACTATATATCTGGTACTAAGATAATAACGAGCTAGTCCTAAAACACAAACTTTGTGGGGCGAAACAATTTGGCAAGATCGGGAAGAAGGGCGTCGATACTCGAAAGAGTGGAAAAAGCAAGCTAGCTACCTTTCCCTAATTAATATAATAGATACTCTAGAGAGCTAGGCATACGTATCGATCTCTTCTAGTATATAAACCTATTGCTATTAAGATATTCTTAAACTCCTAGCCCCATATCGTAGCCAACGTGTTAGTATTCATATTAAACTAATACAGCGAGGTGCCCCTACGCCTAAAGGTGACAAATTACTTCCTATTATTATCTTTATCTTTACCGCAAACCTATCCTAGCCTTAGTTCCTAGTCTAGATAGAATATTTCCTTATTAGAGTCTATCTAAGTTAGCCCTAGGGAGGTCTTAAGAACAAATTTTTAGGTTAATATTTCTTATGAGCCTAGCGTTTCTATACAATACTAATTAGTAAATCGCGTGATATACTACGTATTAAATTCCTTACGTATTAGGATATATAGATCCCAGGCCGAGGGGAGAAAATACGCCCCATGAACGATCAAAATTGCAATAGGGTGTTGGTTTGCCATGGCAAGGGAAGTCTCAAAGCGACTGCGTCATTGGTAGACCAATCCGTACTTGGGATTGTAACAAACCAGTAGCTTCAAGTGCAGATGAAAATGGGCTTAGCACTGGTGACTGGTGTGACACGGAATATACGCCCATAGCAAGAGTTAAGACGAACTTGGTGAATTCCGGTGCTACTACCAATGGAGCGTAGACCGAGAGGTTTGAGTGCGATCAAGCATGCGCTGTGGCCCCAAGGGTCCGTGAATCGCGGGGGCAATCGGGGCTCGCACATACTCCAGTAGTCAATCCTTATTTGCCATAACCTTGACATTCATTGACAATAATACAATTATCCCGCACATCCATTTAAGAGGCTTCAATACAGGTACCTTAGCCCGGTTCAATGACGCTCCATATATCTAGTGAAAGCTTAATCGCAAAACAATAGTGATTCATTGGCGGATGGTGGCAGGCAACTGCATCTTTCTACAATAAGCAAGAGGAGAGGGGTAATTTCTGAACATCTGACAGTAGCATAGCCTCTTTCTTGTTCTGTTTTATCTATTTGCCAAGTACCTTAAACTGCCAAGGCACAGAAATTTGAACACTACATACACCATCATGGATATAGTACACGGCAAGGAGCTACACTATGAGGAGCTTGGGCTCAAGCATCGAGGTAGCGGGCTAGCATTCAAACATCTCTTCCTCGGTGAGGAGAATACTCCCGAGAACTATCTCTTCAGCATCGCGCGCCAAGGCGACTTTTACTCGCCTATTCACCGGCATACCTTCGATCAGTTCCGGTACGCATACCGTGGCGACGTGTCTATTGCCCCAGATCTCCTTCTCCATGAAGAAGAGTTATGCTACCATCCGGAGGGTGTTTTCTACGGGCCACAGCTCGATGAATGGGGCGAGCGTGATGTGTTAGTTCTACAATTTGGTGGAGCGAGTGGCAAAGGATACCTCAGCTTTGCACAAATTGCGGAAGGTCAGGAAAAATTGAAAGAGCAGGGCCGATTTGAAAAAGGCAAATATCACCCTGCAGGTGGCGGGGAGCCGAAGGATAGCTATGAGGCTCTTTGGGAGAGCTATTCGGGTCACCCGCTTGAGTATCCCGCGGCACGATATCACCCAGTCATTGTTTCAAAGCCAGATAATGACTCCTAGGTGCCGTCGGGTGGACCGAGCAATGTCTTTACACGGACGCTTGGTGTCTTTACAGAGAGGCAGACCAAGGCGGATATGATCAAGATAGGAGCTCAAGGGAAGATTGAGATAGGCGAGCAAAACGCTATCCAGCTGCTCTTTGTGCTCAAAGGTCAAGGTAAACCCAATGGGGTCTCATTGAAGATTGAGTCTGCAGTGCGGTTATCGCCCGAAACAGGAGTTTTGCTCTCTTCAGAGTCTGGGATGGAACTGCTTCGTTTTGTTCTTCCTCTATACTACAGCGAGATATTGGCAAATGAAATGGAAGTTTGCAGATGACAATGCCGGGGGCTGGTTATTGAAGAAAGTCATTAAACAAATCACATTGAGAGAGATGAGGTGGTGGTCCGACGAGGTAGACAATCCAGTCAATTAATTTCTAAGTTAACAATTATCTTCACATACTCATTCCACCGGCCTAGCCCGGGAATTTGATTTACATGGTCATGTTTAAGACCCTACATAGAGCATTGGTGTGTAGAAAAAGTAAACACCAATAAACGCTTGTTTACTTCAAAGCCACCCCAGCAGCATGACTGGTGGGCCACTGAAGCGCAGCAGGCTGCAGGGCTAGACAAACGCTTACCCTCAAGAGTTAGTGCAGCTAGTGATGGAGCAAAGAGATTGGTTGCCTATTTCGAGAGCAGAGACTGAGCGTCTGCGCGAAGAGCTTCGTCGTGACCATGAGCGGAAACGCAAAGCTGTTGACGAGTGCGTTGGCCACCATCTTGTGAGCTATCTTCCGTACGATTAGCATGCAGCCCGGGATGCAACAGATTCATCCGGAGTCGGATATGAGTCTCCGTAAATTCTCTTCTCGGTTTGCAAAATACATACTTGACCAAGGACCCTTGTGGGCCTGTGGTAGGTTACATATCTAGTTCCACTTAGTTTTCCTTGGTGTCCCATAATTCGTGATAGCGTGTATGCACCTCAATTAACGTCGATCAAGGAACAGCTTGACAACATCCAAGTTCCAGCGTATACTGCGGCTTGGAAATCATTTCTGTATTCATCTTTTGATTTGATAGTAGAATTGCCCGTCACTGCAGTACTTTATTGCTTGTTTTGTTTCTATTAATCGCGACCCCCACTTCGAAGCCAGTGCTTTTAACCATTCGCTCCCGTCCCCTAGGGTAATACGTTCAAGCTGCCATTAAAACTGGTAGTTCAACAATCTGGGACCTCTTTGATCAAACTTATATCTACCTATCTACCCATGCAAGTCTGTGTAATGCTCTTCAACAATTACAAGCCACGAGACTTTACAAAACAAAACATAATTCTCGACTACTCAAGCTGGTGATCCATATTGGAATTCAGACACTCCCGGTATATTCCCTAACTTAATTGGTTATTTGGATATTCTTGAAATTCCCGCCACCATTATTTCCGAAAACTCCTGCCATGCCTTGTTTGAAGCTGCCGTCAGTGACGGTGTAGGTGGTCTTCGAACCGCCTTGTTCTCCGGCAAGCGTCACCGTGAATTTATCAGACTTCGCAACCACCGACAAATGGTACCATTTCTTTCCCTGAATTCCCCCAGGATGAGCTTCTGAATGCATAACAGTCTTGGTGTCGGCGTGTCGATAGGTAGTCAGTTTGCCAGTGGCACTATCGACAGCCACCGCGTATCCCTTCAACTTATTAAGACCCGTGCCAGAGGCAGACATTCGCACATTCAGTCCAACTGAACCAGAGCTGCCAGTAATAATGACGTCCCCCGTAATCTTGTAATCTTTCCACCCGGTTGATCCCGTTACAGATACCGCATCGGTACTTCCGACAGGCTCAAATCCATACTCATCACCTGAAACGTTCCACTTCCCCCCGAAGTCAATCCAACCAGTTTGTCCATAAGCCGTAAAATTTGCCGTATAAGGCAAGGCACCGATGGGCGCTTTTCCTGTCCGTTCCGAGCAAAAGCTGCTGTTGCCTTGGCCTGCTGGCGCCGTATATCGAACAACCCCATTCGAAAGCGGAAGCAAATCGGGACTATAGTTGGCCTTGCAGTATCGTGTGCCATTTGGGACAGTCCAAGGGGCTGGAGCCCAAAACCACTCACCTTTGCCGTAATTTTTGTTGATGAAGACGGAGCGAGAATTTTCGGGAGCAGGCTGATTGTTGGAATTGAGCAATGTGTAATGGCTGGAAAGGATCACTTGCTTCGTCGACGGATCCCAGATCGTGTACGGGCTGTGCACGGGATGAATACCATCAGCGGTATCGATCCTGATCCCGGTATCATTTGTGTTCCATGAGACGCCATCTTTAGAAGCCTTTGTATACACAGGGCAATGGGGGTGTCCGCAGAACTCATAGCTCATGATATACTCCCCATTGCCCATCTTCGCTACCGAAGCCATCCCTGGTCGGTCTCTGACCCGGGAACTGGCCACAGCCTTCACGACATCACCCCAGGTATCGCCGCCATCCTCGGAAACGACATTGACCAGCATCTGGCTGTGCATCCTGTTCTGTCGCTCCTCAGAGAACACCTCTACGAGTCTGCCTTTTTTATCCATGTAAAGAAAAGGTTCCCAAATGCCTGAACGGGATGGACCGCCGTGTTGCCATTCTCCTACAGCATCCCACGTTTCGCCGTGGTCTTCTGACCGCCAGGCGAAAAAGTTGGTCGTGGAGCCATTGGACGGTAGGAGATTGCCGACTAAAAGCAATGTGCCTTCGGGATATTTGCCCATCTGGCGAGGAAATTCGAAGAAGAAAGGTTGCTCGAATCGGGTGTATGGATATTTGGGGTCCCCTTTCGTATCATGGACGGTCGTCAGGGTAGTCCAAGTCTCGCCTTCGTCTTCACTTTTGCGAATGATAAACTCCGCTGCGGTTCCATTCGTCTTGCGCGTATCTGGACCTGCCGTGTATGTGTGCTCCCAAGTAGCTAACAACCTGCCATTCTTATCACCGGCATGCTGTAACTCAATGACCCGGGCATAAGTATTGATTTCATTGTCCACGGTAGGGTCCCAAAGAAAAGATCCCGTAGAGTCCGCGACTACTGGTGAGATAAAGACGGCTGCCAGGAACGAAAACACAAAAATTGCGCGGAACCTAGGATTAAACATGGTTCTTGAAGATCCTGGCTAGGATAGCACATTAAACAACTTTGGTTGAATGCTCTCTAGCTCACAATACTCAAGGCAAGCCAATCTATATACTTATTCGCGTACATCAGGCCTCCCCCGTTTATCAGCCTTGCGAGCATACGACGCGTATGTCTATGACATTTGTAGTCCTTTCGAAATAGCAGATCGAAAGAAAAACCTGTGTTGCGCGCGTTGACTGTGCACAGCCTTGGGAGTGGAAAAAAAATGCTTGACCATACCGCGCCGCAGATCTTCGCTTCAGTCGAAGATATTTGCGATCCGTGCGGTTCTCTATATTTATCGATGCGTCACAGGCGGCCTTACTTGGGGCCAAAGAGCTTGCACTAGGGAATGGCTAGGTCTACCTACAAATAGGGGCTACTTCAGCCCTTATCCGGCGCTCTACCTGGCGGCACCCCGATCAGAAAGATCGCGACCAGGGCCTAAAATCCGGCACTTACAGCGACAGTAAACTAAAATGAACTTTACCTGTGGATAGCATAACGTTAACTTGTAAATTTATTTCATGCTTGTTCATATTCCCGAAAAAATGTCGGTCAAACATTAAGCAAAAGTAAAATTGGTTTTCTTTCATTCATTCAGTCATTTTTCGTTTACCGCAAGATATTATGCCTGCGCCATTCAAGCCTTTCAGCAAGGATGTCCCAGCTAGGCAATCCATCCGCCCTAGCTATACCTTTGAGGCCATCTGCGACAAAAGTAGCTAGGTGATCAAATTGTAGTTTGACCTTTCGCATTTGTTGGTCATAGGTTGAGTCATGGAATGAAACCGTAAGCGTATGTTCATGGCCCATATCATCGTCTTCGTCGTCGGAGTCAATTTCATCTTCTGGGCCTTTCTTTGTTGGCCGTATCTTCACAGCCTCCATGGAGTCTTCTTCGTCATCTTCCTCTTTGCTGTTGGATGTTCCGGACAAGTGTGCAGTTTGTAGATCTGCGAAATGAACACAGAGATCTAAGAGACTGATAACGGCTTTGTGGATCGGAGACAGATTCTCCGAGACCAGACACTGGGCTTCCAATGAGGACATGTAGGACTGGTGGGCGGCAATCATAGAATCGACATCTTTTGTTTCGAATAGAGCTGAGTGCAGGGATTGGGTTGCAGTGGATATGACCAGGTAAGTGAGATGGCCATATATGAAATCGATGAACCAGAGCATGTTGTGGTGGAGAGCATACACCAAAGTGTCATCCTTTTCGACTGGCGTATTGCGGGCGTCTCGTATGCGTTGTTTTACCATGGTGTATCTGGCACGCCTAATCTGCATCAGAAAGGTTGAGATTCGCTGGTACGAGCAAATTGCTTCCTCGGTAATAATGTTTGCCACAGGCCACGGAAGACCATAGTCGATGGATATTGACTCGAGGATTACCACGCTTCGGTGGTTTCGTGATTCACGCGAAGTGGTACTAGCTGGGCGCACAAGGAGTCTCGATGTATCGATGGCGGGTATTGAACTGAAAGCCGTCCTTGAGATTTCAGTGAGCAAAAATCTGTCATCCCAAGAGCGACCCCGGTCTATCAGTTCGAAAACCTTCGCATCGATCATACTGAGGACACTCATGTCTTTGCCAAGGTAAACATGTTGAAGAGCGTCTAGAGCACTCCACAGCCCGCATTTTTCATCAAGTTCCTCTCGCAAACGAATGGCACTAAGTGAATGATCTATATCCACAAGTTTCTCGAAAGCTGACTCTACTGATGCAGAAAATGGAAGCAAGAGTAATGAGTCAGAGGAGGAAATTTCATCGAGTGTCATGTCCGATTTCTCGCAGGTCTCTGGAAGTAATGCATTCAAATGGCGCAAGAAAACCATGCTTTTGCCTGCTGTGAAGATCTTTTGAACACTCGTCTCGAGGAACTGAGGGATCTTCTGCCGCCTCGGCCCCTCATCCAGAGCGAACCAGTCGTGCCAAAGGGTACGAAGATCACCCTCACGATTCGCCCGAACGAAGAAGGTGATATCTGAAGGATCAACTTGGCCTGTTTCCATCCAAAGCTGAATCGATCTTGTATATGTTTTGAAGCACAGGAAGAATAGTTTTGCAAGGCGTCGAGATGCACTTTCATCCCCGAGAGCTTCCAGCATACATATTAGGTCATATAGCAGATCCAGACAGCGCATCGGTTGATCGGTCGAGCTCTTCCCTAGTCTAGCTATCATTTCTGCTAGCAAAGCTAGCTCGTGAGAGTGTTGACGGACATCGGCGAGAAGCTGGAGAAGACTAATTGTTGAACCAGCGGAAAGGTATCCGTACTGAACTTGGGAAAGTGTCCCGTCGAATTCATGAAGACGCTCTTCAACGCCCCGACAAAATGTCTGCATGTATGGAATTGTCTGAGGTGTCTTGATAAAATCTCGCACAGCGTTAATTTTGGCGCCTATTTCACCAAAGCACTGCAAAAGTGATGCTAGTGATTCGTTGGATGAATGTGCGAGTGTGTAACTGCGATCTATTTCGGCATCGTCATCCAAACGCCAAAATACAGATGTCGGAAGACCCTGAAGCATAAAGATAGTCTCTCTCGCGAGTTGTAATTCGGTAATGGTTTGCGAGGCTTTATCTTTTCCTTGGCTGACTGGAGGATGGTTTTCTATCCTCCAAAATTGTGCCTTTTCTATACAGACGATGAGATCGTCATCTTCTGCTGGAGTAAATATCTCATCAGGGACAATGTAGTCCTCTTCAATCGATGTAGAGGACGGGGGTCTGTGCCTTGGAGCAGAGACATCGCTGACGACGGATGAAAAGTCGTCGTCATCTGAGGAGTCGGCAGTGAAATCTACCTGTTCCCAGATACCTTCGCCACTGTATGCTGCCCCCTCTGGGTTGAGATCCGACCATGAAAGAGATTCTGGTGCCTCTGAGGGCTTGTCTTTCTTCCCGATTCTGTCAACTGTGGACAATAGAGCGGGGCGGTCTGAGAGCTGAAGTAACAGGCTGAGTATCTCTGGGAGCCAGGAGTTACGGCTGCCTTCTAGCTCTACCAGGCGGCTGCGAAGAGCCTCGGCAAGCTCATCTCTATTCAAGACTTGGAACTTTTCTTGCAGCCCTTCGAGTTGTTTCGCAACTGCAAACTGGTCGGTGCGCGTATGAGAACCAGTCCGGAGACCCCCTTGTACGCGACGCTTGAGGCTTTGAATGTGGGCAGATCCCTACACGAAAGTTAGGAACTTATTATATGACGGAGTAGAAACCCATGGATATTACCTTCTGACTCGGTGATATCTTAGTGACAGAGGTAATCAAGGCATCGGTGAGCGTACTGAGATCAGCCGCGAAAGCCATTTCAGGCAAAGGCAATACAAGACAGACAAGAAGATCACATCAATATCCTTGCCGACTGTAGTCGAAGTTAAAGTTGAAGCAAAGTCGGGATGTTTTGCCTGGATGACGCTAGTCCCGACAAGGAAAGACGGCCACTCAAATGCGCGCCTCTCTCTCCCTCTGACATCTCCCCCTTTCAAAACCCATCATGGCTATCGCGCGACCGATCCGCATGCTGGGTGCAGCATGCATCCTTCTTTGTCTATTTCTTGTATTCCAGTTACATCAGAGCCCCTCCAATGATGGGTCTAAACTGATCCACGGCATGAAAAAAGATCCTCTTGTAGATCGTGCGTGACCCCGGTTTCATGCCACCTCCCCTATCGCAGCCATCGCTTTCCCAACATACTAACCTTGTGATTTCAGCAACCGGAGAACCTGCCGGAAACCTATGGCGAGCCACCGAACATGACTACTCCCCCGATAGCGACAAATCGGCCCGCACCAACGCCGCGCTCATCTCCCTCGTCCGCAATGAGGAACTAGGCCAACTCCTCGATACCATGCGTGATCTGGAGCGCACATGGAACAGCAAATTCAACTACCCCTATATTTTCTTCAACGATATTCCCTTTACCGAGGAATTCAAGCAGAAGGTCCAGTCGGTCACCAAGGCCAAGTGCCAGTTTGGTACGCCCTCCCCGTCCGTCCCGCTGGAAGAGGAACATAGCTAACTCTAGTTGCAGAGCTTGTGCCAAAGGAACACTGGGAAGTCCCGAGCTGGATCAACATGGAGCTCTTCAAGGAATCCGCCAAGGTTCTGGAGGAGCAGGACATCCAGTACAGCTCGAAGGTCTCCTACCACCAGATGTGTCGCTGGAACAGCGGCATGTTCTACAAGCACCCTGCTCTTAAGGAATACCGTTACTATTGGCGCATTGAGCCCAACGTCAAGTTCTTCTGCGACGTTGACTACGATGTTTTCCGGTACATGGAGGATGGCAACAAGACCTACGGCTTCACCATCAACCTCTACGACGCCCCTCAGAGTATCCCGTCTCTTTGGCCAGAGACTCAGCGTTTCCTCGCCGCTAACCCCTCGTACCTGAGCGACAACAACATGTGGGAGTGGATTACAGATGACGTGGCTCGTCCCGAACACACCAAGGGCGGCAACGGATACTCCACTTGCCATTTCTGGTCCAACTTCGAGATCGGCGATCTGGACTTCTTCCGTGGCGAGAAGTATGAGGCGTACTTCCAACACCTAGATCGTGCCGGTGGTTTCTTCTACGAGCGATGGGGCGATGCCCCCGTCCACTCTCTCGGCATTGGTCTTTTCGCTGATGCCGCGAACGTTCACTGGTACGTGATGATCCCTTCCCATATATGAGAAAACTCATTCACATGAATATCTAGGTTCCGCGATATTGGATACAACCACATCCCGTATCTCAACTGCCCCAACTCTCCCAAGTGCTCCGGCTGCAAAGCTGGTCAATTCTATCAAGGTGCAGACTGGCTCTCCAAGGAGGATTGCCGCCCGACTTACTTCAAGTACGTGGGGACACACTAAACCCCAGATCTTTGAATGATCTGTCTTGTCTCTTGTCTTTCTGAAGAGTGCCTTACTCACGACTCGATTCTTTGCATCACCTTGCATACCTCTATGACTATATTCCTGAAAACCAGTGGCTTGGTACCCGGCGTTTGAGCGGACACACCCTTGTGTATTGACGATTCTGTGTTCTCTTTCTTTTCTCTTTTCTATTTTGGTTTAATTCCTTGTCACAAAATACGTTCTTGGCCGTGTTGCTGTCTCCTGGGGAGCTACAGGGGCCTTGTCTTCATTGTACTTATATCGATTGCGCATGGTCAATTTGGAGGCTCGATCTAATTTGGTGTGGCGTCTCTTGGGCTTTGTTGCAGTTTGTCATTTGGTGTGATATATTGGCTACTTAGAACTGAGATCCAGACTAGTCTGGCGGTTTACAAACGAATATCTGATCCGCTATGGTTGTAGGAAAATTGAAGATTGAAGATTGAAGACTGAATTGAGCGATTGAGAATACAACAGTTGTAAGATGGCTGAAGAAGACGGGAACACGATGGAATCAAGATAAATTAAGCACCAATCAAGGCACCAAAAACCTTGTTCCAAATAAGAGCGGCACTAACAACACAAGAGATCTCTAAATATGAATACAGTTTTCTCTTCTACCCGACCTGCTCCTCAGCCAGTCAAACAGTGCCGGATAAACAACATGCGAAAGGGTACTGTTTGTTCAAGAGAAAATTGACGCGAAAGGAGAATTGTTGATGCGAATTTACTCCTCCTGGGGGTAGAGCTCCTCGCGGAGAGCGACGCCCAGCTCTTGGCGCAGACCCTCGAGGGACTCAAGATATTGCTTGTACTGGTCCTGGTTCTCGACCTTGGCCTTGATGCCTATTCACAAAGTGACGTTAGTTTCGATTCGTGGCAGATATACACTAGTAACAACGTATAAAAGGTGAAAGGAACGTACCCTCGAAGACACGGACGGCGGTAGGGAAGTCGTTAACACGGCGGGCGGCCTTGAGAGCGGCAGTGAGGACCTCAACGGAGGGAACGAGATCGTAGGCGAAGCAGTTGTTCAGGTTGCGCTATTTGCGAAGAGAAGCATTAGCCATATGTCGAATAGATACGGGTATAGGATCGCATGAGTGACGGGGGGAGATATGGCTCATGCCATATACCGCATGTCGATCAACATGTTGGGGTTGCAAGACGAGATAAGTCATACCTGGAGCTCGAAAACATCCTGCACACCGTCGAATTCCTTCTCAAATCTGCGATTGGGATACATAGTCAGTATAACACGCTTCCAGGTGAATCCCGATGTCTGTTCCGGGAAGCGCCTAACATCGCTATGCGCAGCACTTCTCCCCCCTCTTCCGACCGACTCCGACATCAATGGCTAGCGATTGGGGCGTACCTGGCGGAGAACTCCTCGTATGTCTCGTCCTCGTGTCCGGAGAGGAGCTTGGAGGTGGTGCCGAAGTTGTGGGCGCGGGCGGCGGCCAGAGTTACCGGGGACTGCATCCGGGACCGGGCCAATTGGGGAGCTCTGAAGAAGCCGGTAGGGCGAACGGCGCGGGTTGCGGCGCGGAAGATGGAGAGGGACTGCATTGTAGGCGGAGGACCACGGTGGACCGGACTGGAACAATGGTGAGGGGAGAGGTTTGGATGGAGACGGGAAGGGGAGGTGAGAAGTGCTCTAGGATTTTGCCGGTGGTGTGGTGTCGCCGCCTCAGGCACCACACGGGTGTTGCTGAGTCATCACCCGATTGGCCCCGTTGATCTCTAAGGGAGCACGCTGATTGGCTTGCCGGTTGTCACTTTTCAAGGAGCGCGTCATTGGTCGAGCATTGTGGTCTGAGTACAGTATTTATTTCCTAATCTGTGGATATATGAGGCGAACTATTGAGAAACTCTAAGATATCAAAGCCATAATCAAATATATCATATGTACTTACAACCTCGGTCTATGCTTCTTTTTGTAGTCCCGAGGTCCAGACTGGATGTCATTCGAATATATACTATGGATTCTCTAGATAACCCTTCTAAATATGTATATATATCGAAACACGCTATTTAGATACTAGTAAAGGATATCTTCGTAGTCACAATTAAGGAAGATTTTGTGTCTATCGTTGCTGTAAAGAAAAAGCAATGATACCAGACATCTGACGCGCACAACTATTTAACAGAGCATATGGTATATTACTATAAATGAGAGAATTGGCAAATCCCTTACATACTTAGGGAGATCTATGTGAGCAGGTGTATGGATTGTGGCATCATGCCATGTCGAGGCTGAGATATACTTGGCAATATCTGGGCAACATCTCATCCGTGCAGAAACATGGCAATGAGCTCGAAATGCTAGTAACCATGCCTATAATGGGAAGCAGATAAGAGCCTAACTGAAATCTAGATACTAGGTTGTGTCTGTTACCGGATATGCTCTCTTCTCATGCTCTTGATGCGAGCCGGGATGCCAGCTGGCTTAAAAGATGGTTGTACAGTACTTCGGCTCTGTCTAAAAGTGTGCATGAATATCACTGCCAATGACACGCTGTAGTTCACTGTGTATGCAATTGCAACCCAACTTTGGCAAGAAAAAACAAGTCGGTGAGATTCTCAATGCGACGCGGCCTTCCGGGTATGGATGTGGTTCCGCAAAGCGGGGACTGAAATCCACCTGTGAATTGGCGCGTGCTATGAGGATGGTCAATTGCTGCGATGGCAAGAAAGTTCATGTTTTGAATTGGACAAGCAGTTCATGAGAAGACCCCTGATTATTCAATATAGTGACTTCGTAATATCTGGTGCGCTATTGGCACGTACACTAGCATGTGATATTCCCGAGGATCTGAACATAGGCCAACATAGAGAGATCGTGTCAAGATACTGAGTACCCCAGACTGCAATTGCAATTACAATCAATCAGATGTTCAACACTCCGAGGCTTTTGGCTCCGTGAAGTTCAGATGTGTATACATTTTAGTTGCGATCGGAAGCCACGGGTGCAATTGATACCCCCTTTTATGCCACGCTAGTCCCCTTTGGGATCTCAACGCGCCGGCCGCAAAATGTAATCGTTTCTCCTGTCCCTTCTCTCTTCCATCCCCCTTCCTCCCATCCATTCCTTCCTTCTTTTCTTTCTTTCTTTTACTTGACTTTCGCATCTCCACGCGATTGTCTGGCGGTTAATTGCAGTTCACTGCCCCATTGCTGCCTCCTAGGGCGTCGCCATTTTCATCGCATCGAGTCGGTTGAGTAACAACCCTCCATTTCACAATGGCGGCCGAATTCCTTCAGAATGTCCCCGTCCCAACCCTCGATCGGCCATTTGGTGTCCACTTGTGGCCCATCTTCGACCAGGCCTACGAGAAGGTCATGGGCTATCCCGCTAGCGAGTTCAAGTTCCAAGAGGGCGTGACCCCCCTCTCCACCTTCAAAGAGACTGCGACAATGCTCATTACCTACTACATTATCATTTTTGGTGGTCGGGAGATCATGAAGAAGTTGCCTGCCTTCAAGCTCAACTTCCTGTTCATGGTCCACAACCTGTTCCTGACTGTTGTCAGTGGTATCCTGCTGGTCCTGTTCATTGAGCAGCTTGTGCCCACACTCTGGAGACACGGAGTCTTCTATACGATCTGTGACCAGCGCGGTGGGTGGACTCAACCCCTCATTGTGCTGTACTATGTAAGTTGCTTCGTGTTTGGACCGTCAAAACAAAGAGACTAACAACCCTGGGCAGCTCAACTACATCAACAAATACGTCGAGTTCATTGACACCATCTTCCTGGCCCTCAAGAAGAAGCCATTGACCTTCCTCCACACCTACCACCACGGTGCCACCGCCCTTCTTTGCTACACCCAGCTTATTGGTGTGACAGCCGTGCAATGGGTGCCCATCACCATCAACCTGCTGGTCCACGTCGTGATGTACTGGTACTATTTCCAGAGTGCCCGTGGCGTCCGCATCTGGTGGAAGAAGTACATCACCATGCTCCAGATCCTCCAGTTCGTCATTGACGTCGGTAAGTGATCCAATCCCGGATAGTCCCAAACATAAAATACTGACAGATGCAAGGCTTCATCTACTTCGCCTCGTACACCTACTTCACCTCCTCCTACTTCCCTTGGCTCCCCAACATGGGCAAGTGTGCCGGTGAGGAGTTCGCTGCCATGGCTGGTATCGGTATCATCAGCTCTTACCTGGTCCTGTTCATCTCCTTCTATATTGCTACCTACAACAAGACTGCCAAGACCGGCCGCCCCCGCCGCAACACTGGCCAGAAGTCTCTCATTGACATGAAGAACTTCGAGGTCCCCTCCCCCGCCGGTTCCCAGAACGGTGGCGCCAAGTCCAACGGCAGCGCTTCCTCCACTGGCCGCTCCAACGGCCCGGTCACTCGCTCCCGCAAGGCCTAAGCAGCCCATTGGGTGACAAAATCGCATCTGAATGGATTCATTGTGCGAATTGAAAGAATCAGTGTCCACGAGTTTGATTGTTCCATCATTTTAGGATGAACAATTGGAAGTTTACCCAAGAACCGTGGACACAGAAGAGCAGAAGGGCTGTGTAGCTGCTCTTGGGTGAATCGTCTCCATACTTGTTTAATGAATGACCACCTCATGATGCCGGCCCAATACCCGGACATGGGGTATGTGCCTCGGAGTTGTCGGAATGCATGTGCCGAACTTTCTTTTTCGGGGAAAAAACAACATCAGGGCGAAGCCCTAGGGGCGAAGCATTTCATTTCGATCCGGGAATGCTGTTGGACTGCCTAGCAGTCTTGTCCTGGTTGTATTCTATAATGTCGATTTTTTTCTTCTTTTGTTCATCTTTGTCGTTATCACCCGTCTGTCGGTGGCAGGCCCTTTTATTGTACCCTTCGCCCTTATTGTTAGTAAAGTATTATTGATAGATGCTCCATATATCAAGATGAATGTAATCATGTTATCGTGTTCAACCTGCATCAATATAATGTGCCACATGGACACGTGAGGACAGCACCTACAGTAGTTAGCATGCCGTGTGTATGTGTCTGGTTTGCATCTGGTCAGCAAGGAATGTTAGATTTGATTGCCCATTAAGGACATGCACCCCCTACTAGTATGCAGACCCAGTCTGTATCAAAATGCACAATCTGGAGCCCATACCCCATGTCCATACAGTAGACTTCAACGCCGAATCTTGATCACTCACAGAACCCGAAAACAAACACAACAATCCGCACCGGTTGATATGGCAACATCGAACAGTAAACCAAGACCCAAGCTCAAGATGAATTCGCAGCATCACATCCTAAATTGCGCGGCCGAAATGCAGACACGAAAGTGTAGATCTGCAAATCATGTGGCCTGTGCAACGGGGACACAACGCCACGAAAGTGACATATCGAAACACTAGCCAACTAGTCAACGGGATGATTACGGCACCAAAATCAAGGGATAACAGGCGGAGCCTCACAGCTGGCCAGCAGAGCAAGCGAGGGAAGTCAAGTATTGAAGTTGGGCTGGCACCAGCCTCTTACCAGCCCCGGAGAGCGTCATCTCCCATCACCAATACCAGCCATGGGGCTGGGCAACAATTCATTCAATAAGTAAAGCGAGGCAGAGGTAGAGATAGAAGCAGAGAGGCCGGTAAGTCAATAATCATTAGATCCCCGACCACCCGCAGCCTCCAACCCGAACAAGCGCCTTGCGTGAATGCCATGCAGACAAATAATTCGGAGACTGCATGCTGCATTGTATGCATGGTCGGAAAGTATTAGAAGCCAGTAGCTGTGGAGAACAGACGCCAAAACCAAAAATAGGAAAAGAGAGAGAAAAAAAGGAAAGAAAACAAGAAAGGGAAAAAGCAATGATGGCAGCAGGTCAGTTACTATGTCGACGTGGGGATGGGGATCAGCCCATATCCCGGGCAGGTATAAAAAGCGTTGAGCAGTCCATATGGAGTCATGGTGCCGAATGACACGGTTCAGACCCACTGCTACTGCTAAATTGAACTGAAGATTTAGGTAATTGTCCAGAGACGCGTACGGAGTACGGAGTATGCAGGCTGTACCTGCATGAAAGAGGGGAATATTGGGAGCGGAGTCCTTGCATTATAGGAATGGTTTGGCAATGGTCGGAGTTATTGGCAGATGATAGATGACATGCTATAAATAAGAGCGTAATCGAATATTGGAATATACTGTAGGTGGAGAGGAAAATCGCCGAGATGTGACAGGCGATGAGGTCGTTTCGCATGTAAGGAGGGATTCTATAGTTTCTTCTCCGTATACTGTAGTTTGCCCAATTTATCTCCAGTAAGCCTAGGAAACTCGACTTTTACCTCCACATTGGCAAAACCTCGGAAAGTCTTCGTGTTCAACGTCAGTTCTAGGATTCGAGTCCCTATGATCCATGGATAGCCCCTGATTCTCCCTGAAGGATTCTCCCTTTAGGCCAAGGCAATCCCCCCTGGCTTCAACCTCTTAGCAAGGACGGGCATTCGGCACCTGGATACCGAAGACACTACGGTTTGAAGCTAGAGCGCCCCCAGTGAGTTCGTGGTGTAGCGTGTTTGAGCTATACATGCCCCACTGATCTAAGGCGGCGGCTAACTTGGCAACTCACGATGGACTATGATTCGACGATGAAGCCCTGATTGTGCACTAATTATGTTCCTGTTCCCATAATCTTTCCATTTTCCCGTCCCACTGCGGGCGCTTCGCTCTCATATTTCAATCAAAATGTCTAATATAGTCGATCCACACTACGGAGTACTAAGGAGAATTCTCTCCTGGTGGACCCTAGAATATCCCATCCCGCTCTTTACTTCAGGCTTGGGCCACAGTAGTTTGTCCGTGGTATCCCGGGCTGATACATGTCCAATGATGGCGTATATACGGCCCTGTTCGAGCGTTAGGCGCATTGGCCCTGACCAACGACAGCTCAGGTTTGATATATCAGATTTTGTCTATACTAATTAATTATTATTTTTCTATTTCCATAGAGTTTCAAGCTGACCGCAACGCGTTATCCCCATGATGAAACTGGGCTTCCCAGGCTCCGCCCTATTCCATGCAAGGGTGATATTCCCAATCACATTGCTTTCCCTGCCTTCAGACCCCATCCTATACGCGCTCAGCCATGCAGGTCATGATTTCAGGGTTAGTGAACCTTGGCCTTTATCCTCACACGTGCATGGCCCCTCTCGAAGCCTTTTCCCTGCTTTCTTTTCTTCATCGGCTTTTTTTAATCTAGTATGCATCCCCTGTCCATAGCTCCCTGGTCCCACTCCCCTTAAAGGAGCCTTTCCTCTCCCCGTGTGTGAAGGAGTGGATTTTTGGATCTCCTTTGCAGCTTTACTCCCGTGGGATATCAGGGCGCTGTGATCTCTCCTTGGACTGGTTTCCATTCACCCTGTCGTTGCTGGCATTCTTAGTTCAGGGCTGGTATCTCCTATTCTCTATTTTTCTCTTCTTCTTTGGATCCATCCACAGTTTGACAGCTTGATACCGGTGACAACTATTCTTTTCTTCTATACTATCATCGGTCCTGTCGACTGCTGGAATCATGTACGAGTCTACTACCTCGCTGGATCTACACCGCTTGAGCCGGCATAGTCTCCAAGAACGATATGAATCGGACGAAGAGGCTGTGTCCGAGTCTGATACCGGAGCCCAGGATCTACTTTCCTCGCCGATGGGCTCTCCGATTAAATCCCAACGAGCTGTCATCTTCGATTCAGACCTAAGTGCCGACGATGCCTCTCACATGGACCCTGATTCGGACCGTGAAGAACATTTGCTGGCACCACCGGCAGTCAAACGGCCACGGCCTGTGTCTACGGATACTATCAAGAGGACGAGCAACGCTGCCTTCGATGACGACGACGCCTATGTGTTTGACCCGGAGGAGCAGTTGGTGTTTGAGCTACCATTGCCAGACTCTCCTCCCCAACTGGCGTCCAGTATATTCTTGCAGCCATCGGTATACATTTCGCCGAAGCCCAAGCCAACCGTCAGATCTCGATCTACTTCACCTTCCTCGATATTCTCAGTCGAGGAGGCAGACATCCAAGTTGCAAAGAAGGTCACTTTCATGGAACCCCAGACACGGCCTACAGTGGTCCTGATCAACGCCCTGGGAAAAAGACCAAGCTCAAGATCCCGCTCAAACCATTCTCGCTCTCGCGAAAGCAGCCGCAGCCGTCCTCCTCTCGCCAGAGCCGAAAACAGGCTAGCACCACCACGCTCCTCGGAGCACATCTCCAAACGTCACTCCCGCAGAGAGACAACTCCAAAGCCAGCATCACTAAAGCAATCACCAATCCCAGTCCCAGCCCCAGACGACTCCGATGAAAGAATAGCCCCCAGCGCAACAATCAACCGCGTCTCCGAAGTCCCCCTAGTCCCATACTTTCCAGCACCACCACGCACTATCCCAACAAACACCAAAACAACTGAATACCAATACACTCCACGCCCCCGTACCGCAGGCGCAGACAGAACAATGCCACCACCACTTCACATTCGCCCCCGCAGACCAACAGAAACAGCCAGACCAGCCTCAATCCGCAGCAACAGCAGCACCACCATCCAAACCTACACCTCCTGCCCAGCCTCCCCCTACCCAGACGACCAAAACCCAACCACCCACCCCCTCTCGCGGGTTAACAGCTCAATGTCAATGGTCTCATCTCCCTACTCTCCTCCACAGTCTATCTCCTCGAAACGAACACACGGTTCGTCATCGTCATCCTACAGCGTCTCTAATATTCTCGCACACCGCTCTCCGCTGATGATGCGCCGTATGACGAGGAAGCATTCGTCGTCGAGTGTTCATTCTATGAGTTCGTTGCGCTCTGAAATTGATCCTGTTGGGCCTTCTTCTTCGCAGATTTCTGTTGCTACGCAGCCCCTTATGGGTTCGGGTTCGATGGTTGATTCGAACTCGAACTCGAATGCGAATGCGAAAGTTGTGCGCAAGTCTAGTCAGCGCAAACATGCGAGACATGCTAGTGTTCTTCCTAGTGCGCGCGGGTTTATGGGTTTGAAGCTTGGGAAGAGGTTGCATAACAAGGCCTAATTTCCTTCTCTTCCTTTTCTACCTTAACTGTTTTTGTTCAGTCTTTTGTTTTATCTTTTGCCTTTTCTTTTTGTTGACATATTGATATTGATCCGATAATGTTTTTATGGGCGGTAATCTCACCTTCTCGCGTGGAACAGGGGTATCTCGGTTTGTTTGCTTTTCTTTTTCTTGGGCGTTCCTCGTTTGGGTCTTGATTAATATTAGGCGTTTATATGTTTTCTGCTTTCTTTTGACGGCTTACCTTGTTTCTTCTTTCTGATCATCTCGGACTTCCAACTTGGAAGTAATCTATCTCGAGTTGAATCTTGGAATGGCTAATGTCTATATCTATTCAAATTGGCGTTTGGGATTTGATTTCTTTGATTTTACCAGGGAGGACAAGTTATTTATTGGGTGTCCTTTTGTCTTTTCTATTCTGCTTTTCCTCGATTTACAATTGGCCGTCGGCTTATTCGGTGATATAGTTACTGGCATGCAAAACTTGATGATGGTTTGTTTGCGATATTAGAGAGATACTCATGCAATTAGCTAGTCAAACTACCTACATGTAGATCTCAACTAAGACAGTAGACCAATTATCTTGATGTTTCAGATATCAATCCCCTTTTCTGCACCAACTTGTACTTTTTATCTACTCACCGGAGTCAAAGTGTCTCTGAGTGGATCCGATGAATAAACATCCTTGCCAGCCGTTCGGCCGTTTGAGACATACATGCACTGAACCTAAAAGGTACAAACAAAAAGTACAAATAAAAAGTACAAGCTTTGACCAAGTGTCAGAGATTTAAAGTATGTACTGAAAACGGCGAATATAGATTAACGGAAAAACGGGTTTACAGCTACTGTACGGAGTACAGGGTCGTAAAAGCCACTGAACTAGCCCGTTGCAGCTTTACCTCCGAGCTCTGATATCCATGTAGGCCGTTGCAAGCCCCCGGAGACGCAACCCCCGCGGATGAAAACTGTGAATGGATATCCACTTTATAGTAGCGGTGACGTACCTGGGAGACTTAAAGCTTACCCCTGAGTTTGTCTTTGCTGAGATGATAGAATAAGGTTGGGATGTTGGTTATTGTTACGTTGAGGACTTGGGCTCAGGGTAACTGGGTCCAGTCTACTCCGTAATGTGTGGTCGAACTAGGGCTGGAGAATAACGAATAACAACTCAATTCAACCAAGGCAAGTGCATGCCTGTGACAAAAGCAGTATTCCATCAGCAATGCAATGCAAAAGCTAACTATGAGCGCGAAAGATACGATAACTAATAACTCGAAACAAAAGATCGATGAAGAAATTGATCAACGTGGATGACTATAAGTCCTAGAGAAAGCCTACTTTCGCGCCTCCAGGGCAGATTTGATGGCTACAAGAAAAGGGAAATTAGCATGAATGTCTTAACCGTCAAATATGAAAGACCGGATTGGAACTTACCATCACAAGAAGTCTTAGCATCACCGAAGAGCATGCGCGTACCAGGCATAAAGAACATGGGATTTGGTACATCCGCTGTGAAGAGTAATTATTAGCCAAGTCCATGCACGATAGATAGAGGGACAATATGATATCGCAATATCCCTGGATAGAGATAGATAGATAGCACTCACCATAACCGCTAGACATGCCACGCTTCATAACGATAACCTCCTTACTCTTCCACGCGTGAAGCACAGGCATACCGGAAATAGCCGAGTCAGGCTCCATAGCGATGGGGTTAACAGTATCATTAGCGCCAATAACGAGGGTGACATCTGTGTCAGAGAAGTCGTCGTTGATTTCTTCCATTTCGAGGACGACTGATTGTACCTGTAAGTAACAATTCATTCCGTAAAAGGGAGGGATCTGGTCACATACTATCATATGGCACTGATGCCTCGGCAAGGAGCACATTACATTGACCCGGCATACGACCAGCAACGGGATGAATAGCGAATCTCACATTGACACCCTTGGCGCGTAGGATACGAACGATCTCGGAAAGGGCATACTGCGCCTTGGCGACGGCCATTCCGTAGCCGACGACAATGATGACGTTCTCAGCGCTGGATAGGGCTTCCACTGTATCGTCGATGGTGGTCTGGGTGACTTCTCCTTCGATCTTTTTCTGGTTCTGTGCTGCTGGCGATGAGATACCACCGAAGAGGACGTTTGTCAGGGACCGGTTCATGTTGATGCACATGATGTATGAGAGGATGGAGCCGCTAACGCCGATTAGGGATCCTACGCTGGTCAGGAGTGGATTGTTGAGCATTAAGCCTTCGGCAACTAGAGCGAAGCCCGAGTAGGCGTTCAAGACGGTGATGACGACGGGCATATCGGCGCCGCCGATGGCTGCTGTTGTTGTGTATCCTTTTAGGAAACTGAGGATGGTACTTGCTCCTAAGCATGTGGCGGCGATTGCGGGGCTTCCCGGTGCCATTGTTATGAATGCGCCCATTGTTGCCATGTTGGTTCCCAGGAGAGTTGAGTTGATGACGTGTCGGCCAGGTAGGATGGTCGGTTTGGAGGACATACGACCGGCTAGTTTCAAGAAGGCGACGATCGAACCGGTGAATGTGACGCCACCGATGAGAACACCCAGGTAGGCTGTGGTCAGATGGAGGGTTGTGATGTCGGCAATGTCAGCCAACACACTTCCAGCGCTGGTCAGAACAGCAGCCAATCCAACAACGGAGTGGAGGGCAGCAACAGTCTGGGGAAGACTAGTTGCTGTGATGCGGCGGCCGATCAAGCCTCCGATAATGGCACCTGTTCCGGCAACAGTAGTGAACTGCGTCAGGGTCTCAGTCGAGAAACCAACTGCACCCAACGAAGCCAGGATACCGGAGATGACACCCAGAATACCAAAGATATTACCTCGTCGGGCAGTTTGCTGAGACGCCAGACCAGAGATAGAGCCCATGCACAACAATGTACTGACAAGGTAACCCGCTTGAACAATACCAGACATTCCAGTACTTGCAGCAGCAATAAAACCACCACCAAACACAACAGCCGGGACGGCATACAGCCATGGGTATTCGGCAGGGTCAGTGGGACGCTTAAACATGTCAAGCATGCGCTTAGTGATGACAAAGCCACCAGAGACATTCACAAAGGCCAAGAACACCGACGCAGCACCGAGATACTCAGGAATGGTAGTGGGCACATATCCACCACCCATAATAAACAATCCACCGATACCCACCATGCCCGAGATCGCGTTTGTCACACTCATCAGTGGCGAGTGAAGCGAAGGAGCTACACCCCACACAGCGCGGTATCCGACCAGACCAGCGAGTCCGAAGGTCATCATGTTGCTCATAAAGACTGGACCGGCGGCTTTTCCCAAGGCTAGGGCTGTGCCCATTCCACCAGTCACCATTGTCACATCCCGCGTAGCCTGCTGCCAAGGCGTCAAAGCAACTTCTTCGGCCTTCTTAGCTGCTACTGCTTGCGCATCAGGTTTTGGGGCCGGAGGGGGAGCGGGTGGAGCAGCAGGAGGAATGATTTCGCCGTTGAGAGTCACGATAGAACCACGGACGACTTCGTCCTTGAAGTCAATACCAAACGATTTTTCCTGGGGAGCCATGGAGAGAAGGTACTTGGTAATATTGTTCGAGTAGAGCGTCGAAGACTGAGTCGGCAGACGAGAAGGAAGATCCGTGTAGCCGATGATAGTGACATCCTTGTACTTGCTCAATTCACCAGGAACTGTCGCCTCGCAATTGCCACCAGCTTCCGCAGCAAGATCAACAATGACAGAACCGGGTTTCATAGCAGCAACCATTTCCTTAGTAATGAGCTTTGGTGCAGGTCTGCCAGGGATCAAAGCGGTAGTAATAATAATATCGACTTCTTTCGCCTGCTCCATGAACAGCTTCATTTCAGCATCGATGAATTCCTTAGACATCTCCTTAGCGTATCCACCCTGACCAGCACCATCTTCCTGGAAATCAACCTCAATGAACTCAGCGCCTAGAGACTGGACTTGTTCACGGACAGCGGGACGGGTATCAAAGCCACGGACGATAGCACCCATGCGACGGGCAGAAGCAATTGCACTCAGACCGGCCACACCAGCGCCAATAACAAGGACCTTGCTGGGAGGGATCTTTCCAGCTGCAGTAACCTGACCAGTCAAGAACCGACCGAAGTGATTAGAAGCCTCCAGCACAGCCTTGTAACCAGCAATGTTAGCCATAGAACTAAGCGCGTCGAAGACCTGGGCGCGGGAAATACGAGGAATGCGATCCATCGCGAAAGCAGTCACACCGCGAGCTGCGAGCGCTTCAACGAGAGGTTTGTTCTGTAGGGGATACAGGAACGAGATCACCGTGGAGCCTTGACGGAGAGCTTGGATTTCATTGAATGGACCCTCCGCCTGCGGGCTGCGGACTTTCAAGACAATATCACTCTGTGACCAGATAGCATCGCGGTCGACCAGAGTCGCGCCGGCCTTTTCGTAGGCATCGTCCAACAGCTGTGCACTTTCACCCGCACCGCGTTGTATAAGGACACGAGAAACGCCCTTCTTCAAAAGCAGGGCGACATTCTGTGGTGTGATCGCGACACGGCGTTCACCGGGGAAGATTTCAAGAGGGACACCGATAGTCAATTCCGCGTATGGCTTTGTGGACACGGATTCCGAGGGAGTTGGAGTAGAGGTAGTCGCAGTCCGCTTTGAGACGCCCGGCCACAGCGGCGGAGAGACGGGGGCGCGTTTAGCATGCAAAGACGAGAGAAAGGTAGCATGTCGAATCTGCGAAGCTAATTCCAAAAGTAAGTATCCTGTTAGAAAATAGCTGGAAATGCGCGACGGCTCGGCACGCGAGCTCAGTTGGAGATTGGAGAAGCTTACCCGAGTGCGTCACCGACACCAGTTTCCCCACGCGAGCGAGACACGGCAGCGCTGACCGCATGGACGCTGGAGCACCCATGGTGAGTGATCATGCAAGTTGCACGCTGCGCTGGGGCGTTGTCACATGTATGGAATGCTTATTGGGCCCCAGGAAATGAGCCGGGGGGCTACTGCATCCAGGCCGGACTGAGAGGTATCGGGCGAGAATGAAACAGGAGGCAGAAGACTGAGACTGAGACCAAAGACGGATCTATCAAAGACGCAGCAGAAACAAAAACAAAAGCAAAACGAAGAAGAGAAAGAAATAAGAAAGGAAGGGCAACTTGGACAAGCACCGAATCTCGGAGGTTGGAAGAGGGGAAGCGGCTACTTGTTCCCTAATGAAACCCGAGGGACTGCGTTGTCCTATTTCTGCACCTATGAGAGTTGGTCGAAGGTTCAACCCCTTGTTTAGTTGAACGCCCATCTTCGCGGGGGCGGGGAAGATCGACGAACCGAGAGCATCTCCACCATGTCACTGACGTAGAGATATCACATCAAGTCAAAAGTGAAGAGAATTAGAAATCATTCCTTGGAATCAACAACAAATAGTTGAGATAAGTAAGTTAAATAATTATGCTGAATAGAATAAGCCAAAAGCTATCAGATATAGTGAAATTTTAAAGGCATATGTCCAGATCAGTACTGTCCATAACAGTTTCACAGTCCACAGTCCACAGTCCGCACTACATCATCGAGTGCTGGGCGCACCACGGTCTATAGAGCTGACTTCCTCCACAGTCTCCTCAACAGCGCCCTTGCTATCAATAAAGTGCGTGAGGCGAGTACGAGGAAGCCAAGCACTCTCAGGCATAATGAAGTAAGAGATCAAAGCCAGGATAGTGACACCAGCCATGATAATAGGTGCATCTACCGAAATGTGAGCAAAATAAACAGACCACGAGAGGGAAGAAATACATACAGTTCAAGTTCTCACCAGTGACAGGAAACACGTACGGTGAGAACAGCACGGCAACAACCCATCCGTTCCAGAAGACACCGATGAACTGGAACGGCTTGCTCCAGCGACCGAGACTCCAACGGGGCTTGGGGAAGCGCTTCGGAGTGCACAACAGTCGACCAAGACAGATGAGACCGTAGGCAGCTGCACTGGGAACTCCGGCCGCTGAGACAAGCGAGGTGAAGGCGACGCTGGAGGGGAGAATGGTGCAGGTGACCAGGGCAGCGACACCCCAGACAACGATGACGGCGTTCCGTGGCTGACCGCCCTTCACGCGGGAGACCCAGCTTGAGAAGGGGAGAACACCGTCACGGGCGACGGCGAAGACAAGACGAGAAGCGGCGATAATGGCGATCGCGGTGTTCTGGGATGGTTAGGTATGTCTTGTCATCATCGAAGGGAGTTAATGACTTACCACCCACAAGGCAAACACGCAAATGATGTTCATGAAGATGTGGCCACCCTTGCCCAGGACAACGGCGTACAGAGGCACGAATGGCTGGGGAGAGCCGAAGCTCATGAGTGTGTCAGTGTCAGGCTATAGAAACGTGTTAGCATATCAAACAGTGAGAAGTAGAGATTGATCAAGACAAACCGCGCAGAACAGGAAAAGAATGATAGTAGCCAAGCCACCAAATCCACTGGCAACGGTACTCCAGAAAATACCACGAGCAGCAGTGACAGAGGCATTCTTGGTCTCCTCCGCAACGTGACCAGAAGCATCGAATCCAATCAGAATACCAGCGGTGGCAAGGTAGGAAAGACACCAGTTCCAGCCAGCCGGGGCACCGGTACCGTTGTACGTGGTCATGAAGGCCTCATGAGCAGTACGGAAGCCCCATGTTTGGGCAGTGCCGATGGGCAGCCAAATCAGGTTCAGGAAGAAGTCGAGCATAACGACTCCGGCTGAGAACCAGAAGACGTACTTGAAGTACCTGGGAGGCAAGAAGTTCAGTAGGGCTGCCAGAGCGAGCAGGATTTCGGTGCAGATCCATTGAACGGCACGGAACTTGACGTCGCTGGCATCTGACGGGAAGTCCAGGTTGAATACAGTGATTTCCTGCGAAAATGTTAGCAGATCCCGGCGTGACAGAGGAAGAAGCATACCGAAAGCATATAGTTTGTTGCAGCTTGGGTATTGCCTATGTTTCTATCAGTATCGCCATCACCCCGCGAGCCTCATGAGGATATGCAACATACTGGCACAGAAAGTCGTCCAAGCAGTCGTACTCCACCAAGCAACAATAAAACCAAGAAGCCGACCAAAGCGAGGACCACCAGCCTCAGCAGCCCACAGGTAGATCGAGCCCGCTGACGGGGAAGCCGAACACACTTCCGCAATGACAGCGGCAGTAATGAACGTGAAGACCATGGTGACCAGGTAACTGGTCCAGTAGGCCAGGTTTCCACCGGCGGCAATACCAGTGCTGAAAGTGACGCGCACACCACCGACAAAGTAGAGGGCGGCTAGACAGAAATTAGCATTGTAAGTAAAGAAGCTGGTCGCTAACACATACCGAATGTAGTCGCGAAGTTCTCGAAGAAGTTGTATGTCCGATGAAGGACCTGTTCGTTGAGATCAGTTTCCGATCATTGATTTTCCAGTTGACATGACATACCGGCTTGTAGCCCATGGTCCGCTAGAGATCACATATTAGTCCACTGTTTTGTATTTGCGAGTCGCTCGAGTGCCATCACTTACCAGCAAAGCGGCATCATCCTTGGCTTCGACCTGATTGCGATCGCCCTCGCCCTCGACGAGCACGTCGGCGGGGCCGGGAGCAGCGTCGTGAGAAGCCATATCCAGATCTAGCACGCAAGGAACACGAACAACTGTGTGGTTGAGTTGCTTGCTTGCAGGAGAATTTTTTTTGATAGACTTCCCGCCGTTTTACGGTCTCCGGTCAAGCTCGGCGAACGACCCACTCAGCGGGAAGAGTAGGGGAGATTCCACCCCACAGCTTTAATTACGAGCCTGGACTCCCGCTGTGTCAATGTTCGATCAGTTCATGCAGGTAAGGATCACGTACCGAACTAGGATGGATGAGCAAATCACTGAGACACAAAATAAATAAAAATACGTCAAGTACACCAAACTGGCAAAAGTCAAGACCAAACCAGATCCCGCAAAAGTCGGAGCTTTCTGTTCCGCGGAGAGTTGGGGGCAGGTTTTTGCTAGCCTAACCTTAAACAGTAGGTGGCCTAATATTTCGTTTAGCTCGGATTTCTCCTGTGGGCATGCATTTTATTTCAAATGTTGAAACCTGTTCACCAGAGCACATTCTTATTGCATGACTTGCATGGATATTCGACGAAACCGGTTGCGGACGACCCACTGCCCGCGCCAACCGTGATGTGACTAAGCTATAACAGCCCACCAGTGCTATATGAGCTGTTCTATATCCTGTATTTGATACCTTATGTGTGACAATACGAGGAACTGCCTGAAACTTTGACTGGAAGGTTGATTCTTATTTTCATCGGGTGTCGAGATAAACGCTTTCGTGGTCAAGAGTCAACCAGTGTGCTACTCCACAACATAATATCTGCATTTATACTTCAGATGAGATGAAGAAAAAGGGTAAGAGCTATGACCATTGGGCTTCATGAAGTTTTGTATTATATAGACTTAGTGTTGTATAATCGTGATAAAGTTTCTGATCGTCTTGCTGGCCTTGCATGCATGACCTGTTAGACCTTGAGGTTGTCAAAGTGAAATTGTTGTAGTAATAGTGACAATAAGACGTTTTGAGATTGCCAGTTTGAATTGTAACTGAAGTATGCCATGGAACTCCAGTCCTCATTTGTCTTCTTTCCCTCCTTATATATATTTCCTTTCTTCACTTCTTCTCTTTGCTTCTTCTCTTTGCTTCTTCTCTTTGCTTCTTCTCTTTGCTTCTTCTCTTGATTTCTTTTCTTCTCTTTCCCTTATATATATACTACCTCTTCTTATTTATATTCTTGTCTTATTACCTCGTCTCATTTTATCGTTCGTCATCCTCCACCCTTCTTTCAATTCTTACAAGACATGTTTCTCTCTTTGTTCGTCAACAAAACGGAAACATCGTCACATGGATAAGACATGGCGAGAGCAAACAGGGATCCGAGACTTTCCAACACCACAAAACCCGTCATTCACAAAATATGACAATCCGTGAGCTAGATGTTGAAAGCTTGAATTCGAGCAAGACATAGCCAAGGAGAGGAATCCCGGGACGCCAGACTTCCTGATCAAGATGATTGGATGCTAGGCATCAAAATGCCTGTGAGTTGATCCGGTTTGCACTGGAAATGGGAAATGGCTGGGCTAATGAATTCCTAGGAAGTTTTCTATCTGCTCACGCGGACTGTTTCTCATTATGGACGATTCGAGGCAATACGGTCAGATACCCTAGTGGCGAAGAGAGCCCACGCGATGACATGGAGATCTGAGACTGGAGCAAGTTGAGATGCCCTTTGGCAAATGAGTTTATTCACATCATCGACTTGTCACATGTAGGAAAGAAAGGCGGAAGTGACCAAATTGTGCACCGACACGATACATTGATGCATCTGTACGACTTCATAATGTTTTTGCTCTCACTTTCTACTGTCCCCAATTCTTCATCAGCACAAACCTGAGGTGCAAAATGCCCATTCCCGAGCAAAACTCTGAATCGACGGTATGTGTTTGAGGAGTTTGACAATCTAAAAATGGAAGCTGATCTGCGATGAGAGATACAGAGGAACGAGCCGTCAAGAACCCTTTGTGATCTTGAGAACGAGGTGAATCAAGAGTCTTGTTCGACAAATCACCAACGGTATGAGAGAATGGAGGGCGAGAAAGAAAAGGAGACAAGAATACCACCAGACTCAGGAGGCCAAGCGCACGTTCTTCTCTCTAGCTTGTGCTCCCGCTGGCCCCTATCATATCCCTGCTTGGCTTACTACCAATTCGATGACGACCAGCTGGCATGTTCGCCTTGTGGCATCGACCCACTCCCTTAAAGGTCTTTGGAGTGCTAAGGGGGCAAGATCCGTGCCAAATATCTCAGAGTGCCAGAAGCAGAGGATGAAGTGACCAACCCGCGTCAGTTACTCTCATCTAGATCGAAGCCGAATGGCACCTGTATGCACCTTGGTATGTTCATGCCATCCATTCAAAAGTGCATTGCCATTTTCAAACACTCAAATAGGATCCGAAGGTTGGGTGTTTGTCGTCGTGCACCTGATACCTAATCAAACCAACACAAGGCGTCCGTAGACCTGTTGCCGTTTTCAGGGGACAGCGGTCAGACAATTACCCTCTGCTCATTTCGATATAGGATCATGCTCGACGCATTTCTGGACCTCTCAAAACACCTTTGAATTTGGACACTCACCAAACCAATGGACAGCATCATCAGAAGTGAATGAGAAGCTATTCTGAGAATCTTCGTGTCGAATTACTCGAGTGACGCGTGACTGGCCCCCGTCTTACCCTAGACGATGCTGAGGGCCTCTGTGCCACAGGCGACATCCACCAGATCGCCGATTCTCTCGTCGCCTATTACACCAATGCTGAGACTGGCCTCAGTTCATCCTGCCTCCTATGCCTGCTATGAATAGCGAGAATTTCGAGCTGGTCATGGACAAGGCTGGAACAAAGCATCAGGTCATTACCCAGGCCGGAGACCGTATCGTCGTGAAATGAAGAAGGTTGGAATCATCGCTGCTGACGATGAGGCAGATTCACACTACACACAAAAGACAAGACGAGTGACCCGCCTCATAACAGCCGGCGATTCTCATTGCGAACTGTCATGAGCCAACCTTTTGTTAGCCCGGACATCCGTTGCCTGGTTCACTGTGGAGGATGCTGCGAGTTGGTTTCTGTACCATCTAATCAATGAGTACGAACCAGAAACATCCAGTCTACTTCACCTTCAAACATGGATAACGATCATGTCCTGGTGACATAGCTGGGGCACATGAAGTTATCAAAAGCGGGAGGGAGACAACAGAGCCTCCGATCTGGACCTACACATCCATGGATGGTTATGGAAACTGCGAACTGGAGCGTGCCTGTTTGAGCTGGCATGTCACTGGAAAACATGGAAGGCATGATGCACGACATGCTACGCTGGCATCTAAGACGGAGCTATGTCAAGCTGTCGGACCGCGTTTTCAAAACCTTGCGGTTAACTGAGATCCATCGTCTGGCCGGGCGACTTCACTCAAGACGGCGCAATCCGCTTGGACCGATTGAACCCCGTCTTGTTTCGGAGTTGCAATGGCAATTCGGGGAAACAATTACCCTCAATGGACAACAGAAGCAATGATGTGGACGGCCATTGTCGCCATCTTCAACGGGTTCCAGTCGATGTGCTAATTACATGGGACGGTTTTGTGCCGCGAATTGAGTCGGGGATATGGACTAAGGAAGATATCGCGAAGGATCATACAGACTGGACGAAGGAGATCTGACATCAAACGGTAGCTGTGTGGAGGTCGTTATGGAGTTGATAGAGCATGAGGCCTAGGACGTTGGCACCCCCACTGGCTATTCTTGTTCTCGGCGCCACAAGTGCGTAACGTGCGTTGTTCCCGGCCGAGTTTGTACTTTGGCAATGGACAAAGATGGAAAGGCCATGCCATGCTGTGACTAGTGCAATGGGAGTATAGTATTTGACTATCATTCTCGCATAAGTATTTTGATTCGAAATGATCGTGATTATGTTCTTGATTCGCTGCTTTCTTGATATGTTCGTTGCTTTATATACATTTTGTTGCACAGGTTTGCAGTCGGAGGTAGTCCATAGGGAAATAATAAACAATTTTAAAGAGTCATGGCGTGGGGTATCTTAACGTTGATAATAGTAGGGGATATGTCGTTCAAGAAAAAGGTGGCGACAGGGTTAATAAAGTCCACTTGGGTGGCTGTTGACGAAGCATGGAAGTCCCTGATCCGTCGCAGAACCATGTGAATAGCGGCGGGATTGGAATGTCGAAATATAAGACAGAGAATATCGGGATCAAGTTCTCAAGGAAGAAGAATGTTCGGCTGGACTTCATCCAAAGTCTTGATCCACCCATTTGGAAAGGAGCGTCGCTTGAGCCAGATGTCTTCTAGGACCTCGAGGCCTTTGTCGACATTCTTATACATCATTAGCATCAATTCAGTTTTTGAAGAAAACCAAACTCACCTTGAAACCAAACCGCTTCAACTCATGCATAGTCTGGCGCACATACTTCTGCTCATCTTCATTGCGAGTCTCCTGTCCAGCAATGAAAAGCGGCCACAAAACAGCCAACTGCCCAACACCCTTGGATAGCCTGCAAATCAACATGACGATGCGGCTAACTAACATATCCAAATAGGTGTAATCAGTAATCCAACGAACACGGCCAGCCCCAGCAATCTGGTGCAGGTAGACGAAAGTCGCCTTCTCATATGCTTCAATACACCCAGCATACTCCAGAACATCGGGATACGGATATTCAGCAATACTCTCATCATCCAGATCACCCACCAGCTGCAAAGAGACGGGTGTCTCCGCCCGCCACATCACAAGCTTGTTGAAAATATCTTTGTACATCATGTCAGACTGGTCATTCGTCATCCACGTCTTCTTATCTTGTGCAAATGTGCTAATTGTCGCCTGGATTTCCATCAGGCTGGACCATGCTTCTCGTAGTTCAACGAGACGTGGATTATCCGGTATTGTGGTAGACAGGCTTGGGGTACCGAGGTTATATTCCCATCCTCCTCCCATGGTCTTCCAATAACTACCTTCGACCACTGTGCCACCTGGGGTTGCGCACGCGCCAGCCACGTCGAGGTATGAGAGCAAAGAAACGAGGAATGAGCGGAGTGGGTGGTTTGTGTCAGCGACGCGTTGGACTTCGCGTCTTGAATCTCCGGTATGTGGGTAGAAAAGTAGATTGTAGATCTCGCGCGCGCCTTTGAGATGTACAGCCCAATTCTGGTGCTGGGAGTCCATCATCTAGCAATATGTTAGTACATGATGCCGAATCACCTGAAGAGTATAGCTCGAACCTCGAATAGACATAATAACAAGCACGTGGCGAAATCAGTCAGACCTAGCTGCTGGCAAGGATCTACGTATCGAGCACGGAATCCCTTCACCACTGTCCCGTATTTTCCCATCGCTTGTTGAAAATGTTTGTTCCGCTGTGTTCCTGTTGCTGTATTCGCAAGATGTAATGCGCCCAATGCCTGCATGGCATTTATCATTGTCGGCGATGACCGAGCAAAGTCCGGGAAATATGCGCGGTATGGATTGACTGTGTTGTGGTTGTCGTAGATGATCAGGAGGGTGGAGACCTGATCGATGAAGTGTGTAAAGTATCGTTCGTCGGCGCGCTGGATAGACGTGGCGATGCTGGTCGACGTGATGGGCTCCTGGAAGCGAAACTTGGTCCGCCGTGCAGTCACGGTGGGTGAGATGACTACAGCTTCGCAAGCTATCTCACACCTATCTCCCCCCTCTGCTGACGGAGATACTGTAGACGTGTCGCTCGACCCAGACTCCGGGCTGGGTATTGAGGTATTCGTAATCTTCTTCCGTCGTTTCGGGGCCGATGGCTCTGGCGGGGATTCTGAGGTAGGCCCATAGACCTTGAAGGTCATCCTTCCCTGAGCTCCATCACATTCCCGTCCCAAGCGCACACAATTATTGCAAACCGGGGATGCCTCATCGCAGCGGACGTGACGGCGGCGGCATGTTGAACAGCCGGTGAAGCCTCGGTGGTGCCAGCGGCGCACTCGTTTTCGTTCGGTCGGTGTATCCGTATCTGGTGTATCTGGAGTCATGGGAGTCATGGGAGCCACCATGCGTATCTGAGTCGAAGGTGAGGCCAGACATGAGCGAAATGGTGGAAAAGTCGACAAGGCTCCGGTGGAGCGGGGCGGAAAACAGGGGCATGTTGATCGGCACACCCCACTGCCTTTACTTTTTTATCCCCGCGGGTTGGCGTCCTTCGCTCTTAAATGCCTCTTCCTTGGGGGGCTGAGAGGCCTGCTTGGTTATGGCTTGTTTTGATCTATACTCTTCTACGCCATTGAGGCTGACAATTGTCCCAAGATCTACTCACACTAGTCAGGCGAGACCTAGGGACCTATATCCCTTGAGAGTTGGGATATGTACTTGACATCTGCTACTTATTTAGACTCAGTTGCAGGACGTCATCGTAGGCTGAGAGCTCAATGAGGAGAGAGACAAGCTTGGCGACTGATTGCAATTGGGGTCTGCTATATCAGTAGAAAGAACAGACCATCTGACATACTCAAAGGATTCAGCGGCTACTTATCGGAAACCGACCCCAACTCTACCTTGTGTAGATCTCCAGGATTCAACATTGGATGAGGCAGCAGTATAGAGACCCGTGAGGGCCGTCAGGATTTTATTCACGTCCGAATACCGACAGGAACTAATGCAATAGTCCGTTTCATCTTCGGAGCCTTGTGTCAACACGCTAGATGATAAGATGGACCATGGCCCGCTTTTGCAGACCTTCCAGAGAGCAGGCGTGAATGGCGGAAACAAACCGAGCACATCTAGCTATGTTAAGTATAGTATGGATCTATAGCACACACTGTAACGATGTCGGCCAACGAAATAAAACCTGTGATATCTTAACAAACTGTAGGACCCAGCATACAATATGATAAGCAAGCGGGTGGCGCAAAAGAAACGCTAAAATAGTAGCGTCGTTCATATTGGGGGCTGTTTTCTGATATCAACCTGAAACTGGAACTGTCTCTGAAAGAGCAGAGCCAACGTTAGTGTCAAATATGAGGCAACCGCCCATACATGTATGTATCTTGCCATTGAACTGACTGCTGCTTTTACCTTGAATCGCAATGATCATCGACAGCAAGTGGACCCCAAAGTATGAGCGGAACTTTGCATTGGCGATCCTCGCCAGATGTGTTCTCTTGCATTTTATCGTGTACTTTCACTGTCTGCCGTGTTTATTAATTTGATTATAAAGCAACAGGGGTGATAATTTGTAATTTCAATGAACAAATCAATAAAGTGTAGCGAAACTTAGTTTTCATAGATGCTGGGTCCTCTGTAAAGTCTTTATCTGGTTCAATGTGCCCAGGAGAGTTGGGAATAACTTCGCAATGGCCCGTATTGGGTTGGATCAAGTGTCGCAGAAAGTGTTGCCCTCTAATGGAGGAAATTCGCTTTCAACTAAAACTTATATCAAGTGGGCATCCATGGATAGTTGTATAGAGCTGATAGAAACCGATTCTTCTCAATATTGCAGTGTGCGCTCAGGTGCAACCTTTAAATGGGCACTATAGTATCCCATTTGTTTAACAATCAAAGATAAGACCAAGTAGAGCAAGAGCATGTAGCCTGCATGAGACAAGTCACTGCGGGGAAGCCCTCGGATTTCACGCCGACCTCCAAAATTGTTACCGAAACCCCTCTTTGACAGCCACCTGAACATCTTTAAGAGACTATCTCTCTGGGTATCTCCGACAACCTTCAATTTGTTTTTAGTCAACCCAAAAGCCACACACAATGTCCCAAGGCACAAGACTCCAAGGCAAAGTTGCCATCGTCACCGGTAAGCAAACCACCCCCGCACGATAGCCAACTCCCATCTAATACATCATTCTCAATAGGAGGAGGGTCAGGTTTCGGCGCAGCAATCGCCAGACGCTTCGGCGAAGAAGGCGCCAAAGTAATCGTCACGGACATCAACGTTGAAGGCGGCGAAGGAGTCGCCGCACTCAACCCCTCCAATCTCATCTTCCAGCGCATGGATGTTACCCAGGAGGACGACTGGAAAGCGGTTTTGGAGTTGGCGTTCTCAAAATTTGGGCGACTCGACGCGCTGGTGAATAATGCGGGCACTACCTATCGGAACAAGGTCGGTTATTGAGAACACATTAAGTGCATTACATGTACAAGGACCTGTCACTGATTATTTGACTCCTATGATAGCCTACGGCAGAGGTCACAGATGCAGAGTGGGAGCGCGTGTTCAATGTTAACGTGAAGAGCATTTATCTCGCCACGAAGACTGTCATGCCACGCTTCATCGAGCAAGGCTCGGGCGGGTCCGTGATTAACATTTCATCTACTGGAGCGAGTCGGCCGCGGCCTGGGTTGGTGTGGTACAATGCATCCAAGGGGGCAGTTTCCAATGTGAGTTCGTGATTGTACTTTTGTCTCCGAGAAATTACTAATGCCTCGTCGCTTTAGGCCACTAAAGGTCTCGCAGCGGAGTATGGTCCACACAATATCCGAGTCAACAGCGTTGCTCCTCTCCTTTCTGGTACTGGGCTCTTCTCTATGTTCACTGGTATGGAGGACACCCCCGAGAACAGAGAGAAGTTTATTGGAAATGTGCCGCTGGGTCGCCTTACTGAGGCTGATGATATTGCTAACATGTGTCTTTATTTGGCTAGCGATGAGGGTCGGTTTATCAATGGTACTGAGATGGTTGTTGATGGTGGAAAGTGTGTTTGAAGATTGTCATATCTCAGTCTTAATATACATTTACGTTACCCAGCAGAAACGTGGGATAGAAGTAGATACATCGCTCCCATGCCCTCACCAGAATCGGATTCCTATACATTTAGAATAACGATTTCCTCCAGCGGTCATATCAGACTTGCAAGAAATATCTTCCTATTATTCGCGCGGAAACAAAGTACAATTGCTGCTCAGTCGATGTCGTTAGAGGCATCTGAGGATTCTGGTCTTGATTCTACTTTCCTGAGAGGGAAATACCATACATAGGATGAATCGCAGCTACGGACTAAGACTCGGAGTCTTCGACATAGAGAACGGAAGTTTTACGCGGATGTCTTTTGAAGTTATATCAATGATGATATCTGAAGAGATTGACTAAGCTCAAAGATTTCATATGTTCGTATCCAAATCATATACTTGGCTTTTGATTTATCGACAATCAAACAAACGCAAATTTAGAATCGTCTCGTCTCGACAGCAGGCGCATTCCCAAGAGCAGCCTCAATCTTCTCAACAACCTCCTCAGTCAACAACTCCACAACCGCCAAAGCCCGAATATTATCAGTAACCTGCTGCGGCCTCGAAGCACCAGTAATCATAGACGAAATATTAGGATTCTTCAAAACCCAAGCAAGAGCCAATTGCGCCGGCGAAACGCCCAGCCCCTCAGCAATAGGCTTCAACGCCGCAACCTGATCAAGCTGCCGCTGCCAAGTATCATCCCCAACAGTCTTCTTCAAATTCTGCACATACCCATCCTTCGACTCAGCCAACCGCGACCCCTCAGGCGGCGCAGAGACATCATTATACTTCCCCGTCAAAACCCCACCCTTCAACGGCGACCAAATAGTCAATCCAAGCCCATGCGCCTCGTATAACCAGCGGTATTCCTTCTCGACGCGCTCGCGCACGAGCAGGTTATACTGCGGTTGTTCGACGACTGGACCGATGAGTCCGAGTCTATCAGCGATGCGCCAGGCGTCGGAGATCTCGCTAGCGGACCACTCTGATGTGCCCCAGTAGAACGTTTTGCCGTTGTTGATGAGGTAGTTGAAGGCGCGGACGATTTCTTCCATGGGCGTGTCACGGTCTGGGCGATGCGCGAAGACAATGTCCACGTAGGGGAGATCCAGTCTTTGGAGCGAGAGGTTCATGCCTTCGATGATGTGCTTGCGTGAGAGGCCGTTGTTGTTGAGGGGTTTGTCTGGGTTGGCGCTGTTGGCTTTGCCCCAGTAAAGCTGTGAGGTGTGAGTGCTTTGTTGTGCTTTGTTTTTCGTGGGATGGATGTTTGGTTTGGGATATTTACCTTGGTCGAGATTACCAGGTCATTCTGCTTCCAGCCGAACTTCTTGATCGCTTGTCCGAGGACAATCTCGCCCTGGCCGCCTGAGTATCCTTCGGCTGTGTCGAAGAAGTTGATGCCGGCATCGTAGGCGACCTTCATGCATTCAAGGGCAGTTTCTGTACTTGATTAGTCTCAATCGACAGTAACAATAGAATTCCGGTGCATGCATACCATTTCCGACATGACCGCCGTAAGTGAGCCAGCTACCCAACGAGATAACAGAGACCTTCAGCCCAGTCCGGCCGAGGAAGCGATATTGCATTTCAGGAAGAGTGTCCGACATGATGGGAGAATAAAGTAGAGTTGAGTTTGTAGGACGACTTCATGCGGGGAGAACCCTCTTTATGACGAAGCAGACACACACGGGCCGATGCGGGGCTCCGGGGTTAAGACGGCATTCGGAGCTTTCTTCGCTTTCCCCCATTTCCCGCTTTGGGACGCCGACGCTGGGCTTGGACCTTTGTGACGCCAGAAATATGGGGCATGACGCGTTTAGGCTAATTGCGTTTGATGCCATTGGAAATGCTTGACCAAGAGTGGCTTGGTTTACCGCGTGGAAAGCGGATGAATCATAGAGAGGACCACGTGGGGGGGTTCTAGCTGGGTAGTCTTTATATCGCTCAGGCTCAGAAGTCAAGGGGGCGCAATACCTGGTGCGAATGTATTCATTGGAAAGCGGTAATTGGATTCAGTTGCAATCAGGGGTAATTACAATCTTACAGAATGGCGGTTACAATAAGCGCAGATAGAATAGCATAAGAGCAGTGTGAGATGTGAAGCAATATTTCCCTATTACGGGCTAATGCTACAACGTGACTGTCAACAATCTACGTGAGATGCATACATGATGCTGCAGATGCATGTAGCTCAAAGAGACAATATGTGGGGCGTCACGTAATGCTTGTTTGGCAGATCACGTGCTTAATATGGGTGGAGCCCTACTTCCTAATCGGGATGTCAAACATTACCTCATGATCTGATTTGACCTGCAAATAAAATTTGGTCTGGCCAAGATATCTTCATAAGAAAGATCCAAGTTTTGTCTGCGACATATGGAGTTACATGGTCGGCTTCTCCCTTACCTTGGCCATGCACCTTTCGAATCTTTCTACGAGGGCGGAATGATAACCGGGATTTTCAAATATTTGGATCCATTACCTGAAGAGGTTAAGCGCCTTGACGTTTTCTAAAGCCTTCGATTCTTGGTATGATCAAGGTCAAACTCTCTGCCATGGATCATACATCTACGAGACATGAACAATATAACCAATTTCTAATGCGCAGCATTTCAAACCATTAGAAGTATTGATATCTGGGGCAATTATCTAATATTGTCACCTAGACGCTATTGGCATTAGGGTTAGAGGAACAACCAAAGATCAACCATAAACAGACTAGAACATGAATATAGACACACAACCCATTACCCTATTAAATAAAGCAAAGCCACCCTAACCAACCATCATTACCACTACCTGAAAATTCAAAATTCACACCTAGTAGGAACAGCACCCGGATACTCAGGATAAACAGGCGTCTGCCCCGCATAAGAACATTTACAGAAATTAGTCTCCATAGGAATACCAGAACACGCACTCGCAGGCGCAGTGACACAGTAATCATTAAACGAGACCGAGGTCGTCATGCCTAGTGGACAGTAGCTGGATGGCATGCAGAAGGTATCGTAGGTAGTTGAGCCTTCGAGGAGGGTCATGCTGTACCATTGATCTTCGGCGCAGGAGCAGGAGACAGCTTTGGTCATGAGAAACCAGTTAGAGGTTTCATTTCTTTGGCCTTTTACCTGGCGAGGCGAATAATTGTAAAGAGATGAAGATCCGAGAAAAAGAAGATACGCACCACTTATGATAGTCGACTGTCCTCCAGCAAGCGTACCCTCGTATAGAGTTGACGTAGCATAAGCAAGCGCACCATTCGAACACTCAGTCGTGATCCACGCTGCATTAAGCGGGAAACAGGTTGGTTGTTCCATGCAGTGGTCTGGATGCCAGACTGACGAGAAGAAACCCTGTGGGCATTTCATTGGAGGCTCTGGTCTCGAGCAGTAGGATACTGGTGTTCCTAGCGTGCAGTCGGTTGTGTAGATGGCGAGTTGTCCATCTGAGCAGCGGAGCGCTACGGCTGGAGTTATTATCGCTGGAGTTGCGTATGCTGTGACCGTGCCGGTTTGTTGGGGGAATGCTATTGCGGCGGAGTGGAAGAGGGGGAGTAAGATGAAGACTTGGCGGGTGACGTACATGATGCTGGATATTCTTGTGTATAAAATAGAATGTTGTAATTGAGGTGGATATTTGGTGCAAAGGCTGTGAGCTGGCTCGGATTCTTCAGCAGCGAGAGGCGATTGAGTCGCTTCTTATATCGTCCGAAATCCAGCCCCAGCACCAGCGCAGCCAGATTAGTCTTTTCTAAAGACTAATAAAGTTCAAAAGATCTCAGTCTTGCCAATGCAAGCCCAACACACTCCTGATAGGGACAAAGCAACACTTGCTGATAGCCCCCAGCACATCAGAAATAGAGATAGCTCAGCTCATACCACCTCGTGGTCGAGACTGCATGTAACCATTTGATAAACAGAGTCACTGACCTCCTCGCTCTTGTTCAAATACGCCACAATAGCATAAGCCTAGCTAGCCGTAAGCCAGAAAACATAGTAGCCAAGACACAGTAGCCAAGACACAATTCCAAGACAAAGGATCCTTATCTGGGAAATCAACGCTCTGAGAATAGTTTGCGCTGGTGTGTAGCGTAGTCTGGAAATCTACTACGGTCATCCCAGCTCGGTGGCATGTCACTTGTGGGTGATAACGTTAGCTGCGTAGTGGTACGTAGTGCTCTCAAACAGAAAATGTATCGAAGCCGAGATTCGGCTCGTATGTTGCGCACAGTAGAAATGAGTGTGCTACACTGCGATAGACACAGATACGAGACAGTGCCTTGGAATGATTGCGACCCTGGCTGTTGCTTGATGAGGTGGATGTTGGCTGATCCCAGGAATCGGTTGGAATGTTGGAATGCTGTCAATCACTGTCCTGGTCTAGATCGTCTTTTAACTCGTTCTGTTTTGGATATTGTGCTTGTCTGGCTTTTTCGAGTCATGTTTGGGTCTCATCGGTCCTACGGGGTTCGTTGCACATGTCGCACAGTGGATGTACTCGCTTTCGTCGTTGCCTACACAATATGGTGAGATTGATACTGCTTTTGTATGGGGGTGCGCTGAGACATTCCCGATACGATGGGTTTGGGACGAAACATTTGGTGGTGTTTCAGTAGGGGAGGTCTGTTTGGCTGCGACATATATTTGATTGATGTTGTCCTATCTATAACCTTGGTGGAACAGCATCTTCTATACTTATAGGATTAGAGTTGTCAGGTTAATGTGAGGCAATATAGGGGAATGGAGAATAACTGAGGGTCAAAAAGAAATCAAGATGCGATCAAACCTTGAAAAGAGCTTGTATCTTCTACGTAGGCTTGATCATATCGACTAATGCAGTCCATTTGCGTACCAGGACTCATTTAAATTTTATCACGAGAACGACAGTATGGCCATAGCACACCCTCCCCGCCTGACTGGAAGATGTCCAACAATCAGAAATCATATACACGAATCAAAGCTCCTGGGTACAGTCCAGCAAGTACGGGTCCAACGTGGTCAAGAAGCATGGGTTATATCCTGTTGGTTAAAGTAACAGGGAAAGTCACGCGCTGCGTCCGTTTCCCACTATATCTTGAACAACATGTTTCTTAGAACTTGTTGTGCAGGTGACCATGACGGTGGAGATGTCTGCGTGCGTGGGTAGCGGGCTGCTCCTGTTCTACAGAGTCCGCCTCCGCAGCATCCCTCTTCACGTAGGAAACGGCTGTGGAGGTCTCAATGACGGTTGTGGTTGCAGTGGACAAAGTGCGGGTGCTGCCCGTGGTGGTTGCATACGGGACACCGTTCTCATCAATCAGGACGATAATATCCCGCTGGAGATAGATAATCTCCTCGGTGATAGGGTCGAGAACAATAGACGTCGTGGGGGTCGGTGTATGCGTGGGGGTCGACGTGGAAGTAGAAGTCGAAGTAATTGCCGGGGCTTCGGCGGTGGCGGTATGGGCAACATTGAGATTGCCGAGCAAGTCGCCCGTATCGATTGTGATACCCAGAGAGATGGAGGGCAATGCCAACGACGGAAGTATGCCTGCAGCTGTTGTGGTAGTCGAAGAGTCCATATCCATCGAAGCGTAGGCTGGGCCCCATTCGATACCCATTGAGCCTGGCAATCCGTCGGCATACATGAAGACGTTTTCGTTTTTGAGCGCAGAGGGAACTTCAAACTCGCATTGACGCTGCTTGCTTTCTGTCTGGATGTCGAAGATTTCGCAATCGTCAATCAGGCCTGTCTCGCTTGTGCAAGTGTCAACAGCCTTCTGCAGCACACCGTCATCCCAGGCGTGGATGAAATCACCGTGGTACCCGTATCCAGTGGGGTCACCGTTGGCCAGCGCGAAGTACCCATCAACGTCCTTGAAAGCATATGTATTCCAGATTGTCTCGTAGAAGAGTGATACAAGGCGAGTTTCGTATCCCTCGGGGCAGACACCGTCCATAACCAGAGATGGATACGCGACGTGGGACTTGTGGTCATCGGAGTCGACATCCTTACCATTCCAGCAGGATGGGAACATCAGCTCGAACCGAACGCCGTCGGTGCAGTGCTCGTCGAGGTAGGTTTTGTTCGGCATGAAGTGACGGTAAAGGGATGCTTCGGCGGTTGTTTGATAGTTCAAGCAGTTGAATCCAATAGCCTTCTGACGCAAAGCGGCCTGCGAGGCTTGATCACCAGTCCAGGAGGACTTGGGAGGGTCGGGAACTGGCCAGGTGAAGTTACGCTGGAAGGCATCACCGGCTAGCATGCGGAAACCATTCGGGAACGCGGTGACATTCTTTCCATAGAGGAGGTAGTAGCTGGTGATGTATTAGCAATAATCATACAACGTGTTAAATAAACTCACGCAAGCATGCCTCCAACCTCCTCAACCAGCTCGGCACTGCCATTGGTATGCATGAAGTATAGAGCTGGGGTCCAATATGCCGACTTATCCTGCGTCACAGCGCAAGACGTGCAGCTAGAGCCCAAAAGAGAGTTCTGGTCAGAACTCATACCGAAGCCTATACATGATTAATTATCCGTGGAACACCTTCGAGACTTCAATATACTTACTTCCACCACCGTGAACCGAATGCACATGAGGAGAGACTTTCCCCGGGTCCACAAGGGGATCCAGCCGCGCGACACCAGTTCGCCCACGGCAAGGAAGACGCCAAAATGCAGTTGCATAAGAGGGAAAGAGAGTGAAGCAAGCCATCAAGATGGCCGTCAGTCGGATGTCCTGCATGTTGTGAATGAAAGAGCCGCGTCCACGGGCCCAACTATAGAGAAAAAGAACGAATGAATAGATCTCAGGGTTATAATTTCAAATGTACGACTCTCCAGGAGCACCGAATCAATCGGTTAGGCGTGATAAAAAGAGAGGCAGTCGGAGTGTTGTTGTCGGATGCTAAGCAATATGTCAGTCAAAGGTCCCACCTGGGCGCGCGTTCTTTTTCAAAAGCCAGGACAGCAAGCGCAGGCGCCTCATGTTGCAGACAGGAGATTCCAGGTGGCCAATCATTCGTCATTCAAACGATATAAATTGGGGAGATCGATGGGGATGCTCCCTTCCCGCGAAGGAATGGTCCCTTGCATGCTGTCCCTTTATTCCGTAGGGATGGCAGTGTCGCGAATGAAAAAGCCCTAGAGCATGTAACTTACCGATTGAGCGCGTTCTCCTTGACGTCAACAAACAAACAGGATCGTCGTTTGAAGCCTTGATCGGGCTGTTACTCCCTATAGCCCTGGAGGGGTCAGCACCAACTCGATGCCTTTCATACTTGTCATTCTCGATAAACTCACTGTTGTGATTGGAATCCCCAAATGAAAGTAAATTGTTAAAGAAAGACACAGTCTGTAAACAGACAAAAAGATCGGAATGAACGAGCGACAGACCCTGAGATAGGGCAAAAGATAGAAGGCGCCGAAGTCAACCGTGAAAAGGGCTGAAGCCACAGACAAGGCGGAGGAGGGGGATCAAGTACTGTAATCCAGTGGCGCCCCCCTTAGTTGAGCATTGTTCATAAGAGAGGGCCCTGAATTTAATGACCTGGCCAATCCCTCGATATCCTGGATATTAGGTAGGGCTCCTCGGCGACCCGTAAACGTCAGGTCAATTGCCCGAGCATCCATAGCCAAACCTATAGCGATTGGGTGTTCATCCGAAATTAAAATGAGCAGTGAATAGGAGGGCGAACAGTAAAACCGCCAAGGCGAGTGGATTATTACGGGGGAGGAATGATATGAAACGAACGTCGTGTTCCTAGGCTAAAAGAGCCTAACATAGGGCTAATTCACTAGCACAACGTCCATCGTCTCGGGGTGGTCCACGCTGAGTCTCGGGATTGGACCGCACGGCGCATCATGAAACGACTCCATAGATTAACGTAACCCCTGTCTGATAATGAGACTTCTAAAATGTGCGTAGGCGAGATTACACGTTTATTTATTATAAGTTAATGGATGATATATTTTCAAGCGATAAGTATATATTTCGTCCACCTATAAGACAAGGGATATCTATATCATGCTGTATGAAAGCCGTGCGCAGTCAAGAGGGAATCTTCACTAGCTCAGACAGTAGTCGTTTGAGGCAGTCTTGGACATCTTACCTATTTCTGCAACGATCAGATCTTATGCCCCAGCCCGATGTCTCAGATCTTGCATACAGTATATTTGCGGTGAAACGACCATGTCGGATGTGCGAAGCTTGACACTATCTAACTCTCCGGCACTTGTTCTGTACAGGACCTCATGTGGACCTTTAATTAAAATGGCCGTGGAGCTCCTGCTTCAATGTGACTTGATTCGTTTTGTTTCTTGTTTTCAGGGTTGGTCGAACTACAGTGGGGAGGAGCGGACTTCATCTTGGCCGATTGTTTCAGAGCCGATGAGACAGATCTTGGGGAATTACTTATAGAACAGGCGGTGTCCAGCATAGAAGAAACATGAGCGGGAAATGTGCAAGACATATTCTGGAGACTAGGATCGACGAGGACGGGTCCAGTGAGCCAATGAACTTGAACAATTATGATACATAGCGGAGTAGATGTAGCTCTCGGCGTCTATTCTAAGAAGGCAATACATATACAGTAAGCTGTAC